ATCATGGCGACTACACATAGGGCGCCAAAGCAGTGGTGTTTGACCAAAATTGAGTCAGTGAATTCTTTTGAGAACTGGAGTCAGAATTTATTGTATACATTGTCTTTGAACACAAACTTTGCACCATTCCTAGTCGATGGCGCCCGCTGGGAAAAAAAGTCCCGTACATCGCCATATCGGGGTTTCGTGGATGATGACGATACTGTCACCGCGGCGAATCGTCGTACACGTGAACGGAAAGTAAACATGCTGGAGTTGATGCTGGGCCAGATAGCCAACTACTGCCCCGTGATTTCACGTAACACAATTGTTAAAAACTCTACATCTACTGACCAGATTTGGCAATCTATTCGCCTTCACTACGGCTTCCAATCAACTGGTGCTCATTTCATCGATTTCTCATCAATAAAGTTAGAAGTGAACGAGCGCCCGGAAGATCTGTACCAACGTCTTATGGCGTTTGTCGAGGATAACCTCTTACGACGAGATTCCGGTATCACACATCACGGAGGTGCCATTGATGAGGACGAGGAATTGTCGCCTTTATTGTACTCACGTGGCTTCGCCTTATTAACCCAGACTTACCGAAACTTGTCAAGCAACGGTATGGTACTGATTTGAGGGCTCGCACCCTCGCTTCAATTAAGCCTGAGATTTCGCAGGCTCTTGACTCCCTTTGTGAGAAATTACAATCTTGCGAAGATGCCAAAGCAATGAGAGCAGCCGTGCACACTCCAAAAAGGTATCCTAATCCGACTCCTACAACCGTGAGAAATAGGCGAGTTTGTCCTCTCTGCAAAGAAGCGCGTCGTCCAGACAGCCATTTCCTCAGCAAGTGTCCCTTTTTACCCCAACAAGACAAATCATTCTTTGCCAAAGCCCGGCAGGTCCTCAGTTCAGACTACGACATCGATGACAACCTTAATGAGGTTCCAGAGATTACAGAAGAGCCTAGCCTCATACAACGTGTTATGATCAAACAGTCCCTCTACCTAGATACATTTCATGGGCATAATCCAGTCAGACTCACAATCGACAGCGGCGCGACTGGCAATATGATAAAGTCTACGTGTGCTACACGTCTAGGAGTTACGGTTACCAGAAGTACTCAGTCCGCCCACAAGGCTGACGGCTCATCACTGTTGCGTGTGGTTGGTGAAACGCGAACATACTTTTCCCGCGATGGTCAAAATTTATTCTTCGAGGGACTAGTCGTAGAAAACTTTGACCATTCATGGAACGTAATGATGTGGCCGTACGAACAGCCAGGCAGGAAGTGATCCTAAAGAATTCGGACACCTACACGTATGGGTCCAACCAAATTACAGTAGATCGTCTACCAGTACGTAGGGCCTGCGTCATACGCGCAACGGAAAAGGCAGTGATTTGGCCAGGTGAATTCATTGAACTTGACCTACAGGAGGAGTTTACGTGTCAAGAGGTTGCCATCGAACCTCACGCCGACTATCTTACTAACAAGCCTCAAACGTGGCCTGATCCCGCAATCGTACAGACAGTTGCAAGCAAGATCCGAGTACCTAACCTGACCCGTGATCCGCTTTATGTGCGGAAAAATGACCACATATGTGAGGTCCGCTATACTGTCGTTCCGGATGACGTCGTTCAATCCCCCAACTCTGTGCCAGCGCGTCGTCGCCAAGGAGTTAGTTCTCTTCATTCGCACGCTGTTAGTCTTGACCCAGATAATATCATGTCATTTGAAATGCATAACAAGTTCACTGCCATTCTTCGTGAGTATGATGAGGTTTTCGACCCTCTTTTCCCGGGATACATTGGTGCGGTTGGCCCCTTCCAGAGTCGCGTGAATATGGGACCAGTTCAACCACCTCAACGCAAGAGCAGGGTACCCCAGTATGCAAGAAGTCAGTTACAGGAATTACAAGCAAAGTTTGACGAACTTGAGTCTCTTGGTGTTTTTGCACGTCCTGAGGACACATTGCGGTGGAGTATATTAATCCTTCATTTTTGGTCAGGAAACCGAAAGGTGGCTTTCGTCTGGTAACTGCATTTGCTGATGTAGGACGCTACAGCAAACCCCAACCATCGTTGTTGCCTGATGTTGATTCTACTCTTCGACAAATAGCCCAGTGGCAGTATATTATCACCACTGACTTCAGCCAGGCATTCTACCAAATACCGCTGAGCCGTGACTCAATGAAGTACTGTGGAGTTGTTACGCCTTTCAAGGGTGTACGAGTGTACACACGTACAGAAATGGGTATGCCTGGCTCCGAAACAGCCCTAGAAGAGCTCACCTGCCGTGTTCTAGGAGATCTTGTCCAACAGGGTAAGGTTGCTTAAGTAGCTGACGATTTGTATTGTGGGGCAAATACATTGGAAGATCTGCTTACTATCTGGGAGAGCGTTTTGAGATCGTTGCGGCATTGCAACCTGCGCCTGTGGGCCCACAAGACAGTCATTGCCCCTCGGCAAACAACCATCCTTGGTTGGATCTGGCGTCTTGGTTGCATACAAGCTAGTTCTCATCGCATAGCTGTCCTGTCCACTTGTGCTCAGCCATCAAATGTCGCGGGACTCCGCTCCTTCATCGGTGCTTACAAAGTTCTTGCGCGAGTCCTGAAAAGTACCGCCTGTCTCCTCGCCCCGCTGGATGATGCTGTTGCAGGCCGTGATTCGAAAGAGGTTGTTGCTTGGTCCGATGCACTGTCAAATTCTTTCTCTCGTGCTCAGTCTGCCCTATCTACATGCAAATCTGTTACACTTCCACGTTCAGAGGATCATCTCTGGATTGTAACTGACGGCGCACTGAGAAACCCTGGACTTGATGCCACACTCTATTTATCACGTGATGATAAAGTTGAACTTGCAGGCTACTTCAGTGCTAAGCTGAGGAAAAACCAGAGCACATGGCTTCCATGCGAGATTGAGGCACTTTCCATTGCAGCCGCCATTAAGCACTTCAGTCCTTACATCGTTCAGAGTTGTTCCACTGTGTGCGTCTTAACGGACAGCAAGCCGTGTGTACAGGCATTCGGGAAGTTTTGTCGGGGCGAGTTCTCTGCTAGTCCGCGTGTGACCACCTTTCTATCCACTGCTAGCTGATACCAGGTTAGTATAAGACATGTCGCTGGTTCTGCAATTCTTCCCTCGGATTTTGCGAGTCGCAATGCACCAGAGTGTAAGGAGCCCACTTGCCAAATTTGCACGTTTGTCAATTGTTCGATTGACTCTGTTGTCCGTAGTGTATCACCAACAGATACTCTGGACAGTTCCTCAGGTGTACCCTTTGCCAGCCATGCAGCATGGTTATCCATTCAGTCTGAATGTGCAGACCTACGTCGAACAAAACCCCACCTTCGTCAGGGAACACGTCCATCAAAAAAACAAACTGACATACGTGATGTGAAACGATACATCAACGCAGCTATGCTCTCTAAAGACGGCCTCTTAGTTGTACGACGCCACACACCTTTGGCGAAATCAACTGATTGTATCGTTGTACCTAGGCATGCCCTTGATGGCCTACTAACCTCCCTGCATATCAAGCTCGATCACCCGACGTTTCATCAGCTGCGAGCAACCCTCTGTCGTTCTTTCTATGCCCTGGATGTGGACACTGCGCTACATCGCGTATCGGACTCTTGTCACCAATGTGCAGCCTTAAAGAAGACACCTAAATTTCTGCAGGAACAGACAACGGGCCCACCATCAGATTCGGTGGGATGCCATGTATTGAGCACCATCCGCTTGACGGCCCGTTTGCCGTCATAAGAACCGACCATGCTCCAGGATTTAAAGCATTGATCAATGATGAATCTCTGGAAAAGTATCGTCTTGCAATAGAACTGGGTAATGCTAAAAACATCAACAAAAACCCCATCGCAGAAAGGGCTATTCAGGAGCTGGAGGAAGAGATATTACGTTTAGAGCCAGGATGTCGTGCTGTGACTCCTCTTCTTCTGTCTTTGGCTACAGCTCGTCTAAACACACGCATACGTGGGCGAGGATTATCTGCTCGTGAAATGATGACACAAAGAGATAAGTTTTTCAACAAACAAATCCCTCTAGCAGATCAGGATATCATTCTCCAACAGAATTCCGCCCGATTGAAAAACCACCCTCACAGCGAAAAGTGCAAGACGCCATCTGGCCGCACCCAACTCTCATCTGCAGTAGTGCCTGGAGACTTAGTCTACCTCCACGGTGATCGCAATAAGGCCAAATCTAGAGACCGATACTTAGTCGAAAGCATTGAGGGCTCGTGGTGTAATATCCGACAGTTTGCAGGTAACCAGCATAGAAAAGGATCCTACCGAGTACGCCTTTCTGATTGTTTTAAGGTAATGGGACAAGAAGGCTTTCCCCAGCCACTCTTACATGGTGAGGAATCTGAAGACGAGGACGGTGACACTCCGCAATCTACATTAGTGCTAGATCCACCGCCAGAGCCTGATATTCCATCAGTTATCACGGACATTCCAGTCCCGCAGTCTACAATAGTGCTAGATCCACCGCCAGAGCCCGATATTCCATCAGTTATCACGGACATTCCAGTCAACCCAGTACCATTACTTGATACTCCTGCAGCAGTTGAGGACATTGTTTCGCAGTCCAGTGACAATGCTGTACGTCGATCGAGGCGTGCAAAACGGGCACCTACAGCATTTGAAGACTATGTTTTGTATTGATGTTTGAAAATTTGACTTGGTTTTTGTCTTTTAATGACAGGAAGTCAGACTTGTTCAGTGTCGTCTAAAGTGTCATCTGAAGTTTTGTAAAAGGTATTTTTGGTTTGCAAAGAAAAAGGGTAGCGCCAGTGATGGCCATGTGACATTTCTTCCGGATCCCGCTACCCGTCGCTATTAGTCGTTGCTTCTCTGTTTCCTGTCTCAATAAAGGTTACTACGTCCCTACTTACTGGTGCTGTTGCGACATATGTATCATTGTATTTTAATATGTCGTCATATCCTGTGTCTATTTGTCTGATTCTATGTTTTAGAGCTTGACGGTGCACCCGAATGGCTACCATATCACTGTTACACCTACGTCTGCTCTTCACATTGTGGTGCTATCATTTTATTGGAAATTGTAAAGGTAAATATATGCAATAATTTGTAATGCACATATTACCGTTATCTTTTTTGGTGTATTCATCAGATAGAATAATCAAATACATTTTCAATAACTGTATTTTAACTTCAAGTGCAGAGTGCAAATATATTCAACGAATGATCATTGAACCTACGGTAACATTACAGGTGTACTGTGCAATCTTATGTAGAAATCGCTAAATCATGACACTTTATATCCACACACATATATATATGCAGGTGATGTATACAGAAACTTTACGTGTGTTACCTTCAACTGGGACGAATATATTACATGCTCATGGACCGTATCATCATCGTATCACCACCCAGCCTACTATACAACAGTCACATGGTGTGTATAGCTATCTATTTGTCCTATCAAAATGTCAGTATTTCATAACATTAACATTTATACAAACTTCTGCATTCACATAACAAAACCGACGTGACGCACTTAGAAAATTAACAGACAAAAGAAACAGAAAACAGGTGATGAATGAAGCATCAGATCCAATTGAGTTTAGGCAAGCTTGTATAAAAGTACATATTTGAAGAAATTGTTTGGTTGTAGATAATGGTTTTTATAACATATGTGTGTTAAATGTCAGATTACACTTTGTGAGTGATACAATTTACAGAATACAAACATGTTGTACCAATGCATACAAAAGCTTCAACTCTGTTCCTTTCTGACAATTTTCAAAAAGAAATTAAACAGCAATCCTCTTTTTTAAACACCCAATAAAAATTGACAATTGTTTCTCTACATTTGCCTCTGAAATATCACAAATATTTTTGTGTTTGTTTGAAAGGCGATTGCCTCCATTTGCTTGGTATTTTTGTCCGAAACTGACCTCAAACACTTGTACGTGGTCCTTGGGAGGGAATGGCAGGACGATGGATGTGGATCCGCACCAATCCATACGTGTCTGTCTTATTCTTAAGAAAGACAATGCGACGGTATCATCAGAGTGTCATAATGTCAGCATTGAGAACAAAGGTGAGCGAATCGCAATACTGGCACAGCGGTAATTTTCTTTATGAGTGTAAATAAATCACTTTGTGTCTACCTGAAACAGCAACACTTATTATGAATCAGATAAGAGAGAAATTAAGTCCGCAAATGTATTTTTCTTGGTCACATCGAGGTAATGGCTAGAACAATCGAGATTACATCTTAGCATGCAAGTAATAAAGAACACTGCATAGAACTATGCCACTAAACTGCGTGTGGTAATGTACCAGTTACGAACACACCTTGAAACATCATACAAATGTAAAGAATGATGAATATTCTGAATTAATGCACACTTAATTATCCTCGGCTATTCATTACTTTCACATATATTGTATACCGACGTTCTGAACATCTTCGATAGGATGAATCACAAGTGATTACAACCAAATGCTTATTGTCCTGGCTATTTCTTCTTGGAAAATTCGTATGCTCTGAATCTTCTCACTGAAGTGTTTGACTGGTTTAAGCTTGAACATGGTCCTCGGCAGGTGCAGTATGAAGGCCATCATAAGCTAGAAAGGGTAGCTATTCAATATTGGCAACTTATCTCAACAAATAGTAAACTTTCTCAAAGAGCATAAAAAATACTTTAATTATGTGACTTAGAATGTTCTCTAATTGATCACTGATGAAGGTGGTACATTTTTCCATAAACAGGGCTTTTCATTACAGTAACTATAAAGCAAGATTGGATTGCTCTTCTTTTTTACAGGAAATGTTTAAATTTACAAATTTGCTAGAAGATGCTGGCATTTCGACGGCAAGATAATGCTTCAATGCCAATTTCTATTCTGTATTTATATGGAAGATATGACGCAAACTTTTATAATGTAAATTATATCTTTAGATATATCTTAAATATAGATATTTTTGATAATCATACCTCCACTCGCAACAAAGTCAGAGGGTATGTGATAACAAATGGCAGTGAGTGGTAATAAAATTCAAAGATATCGTTTTCTTTCATATGTTTTGCAAATATTAAATAAGTTTTAAAACTACATTAATTGAATTTAAAATAAATTCTGTTATAGGTGAAATCACTCTCACGATTATGTTTTGAATTTACATACATCAAATCTGAGTTTGAATTAAAATCCTATTTAAATGTAGGTATCTTATTTATTGTTTAGACATGTACTAAGCCATCAATATATGATATTTCACATGCGCCACATCAAGCACTTCTTTTATTAAAATTTTATACATTATTGCAAAGTTATTTGAAAATTTGTTGGAGCATTGTATAGTCAGGGGCGATAAATCTTACGATACTATTTTAGCTGTTATATACAAAGCTTGTTTTGGATAAACATGTAATTTTCTGTGACAGTTAAACCTGCTACGGTCACTGATTTAATAGTGATACCCCAACACCCAAACTGCATTTTTGCTCAATGGACACACGAAGAAGTAGAGCGCACTAAAAAGTACTATATAGAAATATCATCGGCAGGACTTAGCACTATAAAAAAGGTAATTCCTTCATTTATGTATATATCTATATACTTATTTATCTTGTATCGTTGAATTTTACACGCTGTCTTGGACATGCATTGACGGATGTCACGTCTAGTAATGGCGGGCAAGGTTTACCCCAGAGCATTTATCACCTGCGATCTCAAAAAACGTTCATACTACTCGTGTAAATCAAAATGTAATGTTTATGTAAATAACACTGTAATTCTTTTTTAATAATAATGTAATGTTTTAGTTACTGATAATGTAATATGGTGTTAATCATAATGTAATGTTTATGTAAATAATACTGTAATGACTGTGTTAATCATAATGTAATGTTTTTGTTACTGATAATGTAATATGCTGTTAATCATAATGTAATGTTTATGTAAATAATACTGTAATGATTGTGTTAATCATGCTGAAATGTTATTCATTATTTAAAATTTGTGTTCATAATATTCAACGTATGTGTTAATAACGCTGTGACGTCTGTGTTAATAACGCTGTAATGTTTGTGTTAATAACACTGTAACGTCTGTGTTAATAACATTGTAATGTCTGTGTTCATAACGCTGTAATATCTGTGCTAATAACGCTGTAATGTCTGTGTTGATAACACTATATCATATCTGACTAGATAACATCTAGTCCATATTATCTTTTCACACTAAATGCAAGATGTGTGTAATATACCAGTACTTCTTAAAGTCTGGTCCTCTGAGATATGTAATGTGTAAACTGCTATCTAAATTCGCACCTCAAAGACAAAGTGATTGATTAAGCATCTTTAAAATAAAGAGAAACAGCAATAGTATTGTTATAAATAAACGATATCGTTTCGATTTTGTTCTTTATTGAAGATGTGGTAAAAATTAATTTCATCTCACAACTTTTTAATAGTAGTTGTTCATGTATACTTGTGCATTCGTTATAACGAGAGTTACCGACAAACATAACACAGAAACTGTTTCTTTTTTCACTTTCGACTGTGTAGGAATAGGATACTTACGTGATCGTCATAATTATCGCAATTATCCGATAGGAATTGAAACCGTAATTGGGACCTGAGAGAACTTGACCGCAAATGAACATTATGTATTTATAATATTTTTGTGTTAATGGAATCATTTTCAGGAGTACAACCTTTAGATTTTACATAGACCTGATTAGGACAATAAATAGAGGTAATAAAATATATTCATCAGTATTATGATGTGATGCATCATGTATACCCTGATTATCCTACACATATTTTTCTTCAGAATTTGCAAGAGGAATCATTTTATGACTACTATGATTCGCCAGAGTTTGAGAGTGGAACTAACTTTACCATATGTAATCTATTGTACTACGTCAACTACACAGTATCCGTGACAGTCAGCGCTTTGGATGATGACCTCAAGGAAATTGGTTACCAAAGTGATCCGCTATTCACCAATGTAGTGACGATGAAATCGGGTGAGGTCATTAAACTATTTTGTTTTGTTTTCAACAGAAACTGAAAATATTTGTAGATAATTCTTTGTATTATTATTATTATTCAATAAAATCAACTAAACACTTATTTTGTTCTTTGACTTTGCATTACAGTTCCATCGGGTCCACCATACCTGCATCCAGGAGGGTATACATTGTCTGCTGTGAATAGTGAAGGGTATAGAATGGTCAGAGTTTATTGGGAGGTATACAGATTAACTAACGTGTTAATAAGTGCACTATTTCTATGTCAAACGAATGACAACTTCAGGTCTTTACAGAAGTGATAATAATTAAATTGAATTTGTAGACATTTAAGAAAGAAAGACCTTTTTATATGAAAAGAAGAATACTTCCATTGTTCATATACGAAACAAAAACACCAGTCGTTAAAAATGAATAAAATAATAAACATGTAGATACTAAGTATAAAATCATATACAGGCACTTCCTAATTACAAATGGAATGGAGAAAATAAAACGTATGAATTTGAAGCTCTTCCAATCGATGGGTGTGGATCACGGACCATGCGACTGAGTGTTATCGAAACATGGGCGGAATTCGATATTTTGTACACATGCAACTATAATATCAGAGTGTGGACAAGGAATGAAAGAGGGAGGTCAAAAGAATCAGGTTTTCTTAGTCTGCAACAACACGGTAATTATGTAGATTTTGTAAGAACCATGTATTTTTCAGTTGGAGGTTGACAGAATCAAAATAAATTGATAAAAAATACAATCAGTAAAATCTTCGAGTTACACATCGCTGCCTAAGATTTTTGTGAATAGGTCTTTCCTTATCTGTTAGATACAGATATTGTTAAGTAATTCTTTCTCATCATTATTTATTCTACTCACTCAATTTCACATTATAAAATGTATATGTAAAGGTTTTTTAAAAAGAGTTTGACTCGTCAGATATAATACAATATACAATGCTGCAGAAGACTGTGACTATATATTTCAAAGAAAAAACATTAAAGTGAATACACCTTCAAAATAACTTTTAGGTGCAAATTATCATTTCGTTACAGTTTGCTATATAGCTATATGCAGTAATGCAACAGAAATCATATAATTTACGTTGATAAATATCGATATATTCTTGATGAATGCTAGAGTCCATCAAAATATGGTTTGCTTTTTGTTTAATTGCCACAAAAAGACACAGTTTTGTTCCTATCCATAAGCGTGTTGGATCGAATGGCAATATGATGAGTATTTGGAAAGACAACTGAAAATGCAATTAATATTGTTCTGTACAATTACCTGATATTTACACTTGGACGGCGACTTAACAATAAAACACCTTCGTTGTTGGTTGGAAATAGCGTTCATTTCCTGTTCGTTGTGACTTACGTTAGCTAAGCATATTAAGTATGTAGGGAAAGTAAAATATTATCGTCATATAGGTAGGGAGAAATTATATATCAATGCTGGGTACATAGGTCGCAATTCAACGTGCACCTGCAATGATTAGAAGGCCAGGCAAAGTTATTTAGTAGTCATTACGTAGTCGTTGTCTCACTGTAGTGAATTTAAGCTTGAAATTACTTTAAATGACATTTTGTTGTTGCTGATAGTCTTGCCGCGTCCCCGGGAACTGTTTATGACAGAGGGATACAGACAAGATATTATGAATATCACTTGGCTGGAACCAAACGACATCAGTTCGACCACATTTCTAACATATACCGTATACTGGTGCCCACAATCACCAAGACTGTCATGCGAGGTTTGTTTGAAAAGGAAATCAAACATTGAATATAACATGTCAGGATTCGTTCTGTTGTTGTTTATATATGTACAGCGGTTCACATTGTACAATGCATCCATCAAAGAATAGTCTTCATATACATATATATATATATATATATATACATATATATGATGCTGCTGTATATCTATTAAGAGTTTGAGGGTGTTCACATTTATTCGTATTTCTTTCATAAGCATGTGACCTTTTTGACAGGGGTCTTTCAAAAGTAGAACAGTCGACTCTCCCGTTCCATATACGGACGGATACTTCAGGACAAATGTTAAAATGGATGGCTATCCGAACGTCACGTATATATACGGGGTATCAACTGATGGAATGATTAACGGAACTATTGTTAGCAGCGGGTTTGCTTGGACGGATTGCTCATTGCTTTCTTCAGGTGAGATTAACTGTTAATATTGTTGTGGTACGGACGGATTTCACAATCTTTAACTAAGGGCTGTCGTCAGCAGAAATATTTTCGCATTGGCAAAAATAATGTGCGAACGCATGATGATTCAATGATATTCCGAGATAAAAATGAAAGCCCCAGTAACTTTGTTAGGACGGATTCTTCGATGCTTTTTTCGTGTCCTTTAAGTGTTGCCACCAGTAACTTCCTCGGAACGAACCTAATTCTCTATGTTCTTTTACTTTTGTTAGTTGTTATTTTCATTGCTTTCTCTAGGGTTTGGTAGTTTGTAAATAAGCTGATATTGATTTTATATTCTTCTTTTTACCTCATGATTGATTTAATTCCAGATAATTTGAAGCAACCAAAAATATCATTTCAAGGATTTCCCTCCGAACAGAGAGTTCGAGTTACTTGGATATACATGAATTGTGCTGAAACGATAATAAGAAAGAGTTATATTACACATTTCGATGTCACTAGCTGTTTGATGGACAATTGTAACGGTAAGGGTATGATGGCTTTAGCGTTGGTCAGTTTTATCTGGATTCAAAATTTGATATAGCTGAGATATCTACTGTTTTTATTTATAACGAATTTTCTTATTACTAGAATATACACTTTTGATTATCCATTCGATCGATAAATGGTAGGTGTGATATGAGGAGGTCACCAGGGCAATTTTTGTACTTTTTATAGATGGTGTTTTTTTCTAACATTTCAAAATGACGTGGTAAACATGGCATGGTTACATCTTTATATATTACATGTAATGTAATGGATATCAAAACTCTGAAAAAGGACGATAAATTGACGACAAATCCCTTCAGCTAACTATAAGTGAATGTATTCGCTAAATGAAGTCGTATAAAGATTTTCATTATTTATATGTTACCCAGAATTCACAGTAAAAGCCAAACAACTCTATGTTGATTTATTCTCAATCGCCGCCGGACAACATGTGTGTGTGTCTATAGCGGTACGCCTAAATACAACGTCTGGACCACCGAGCGCCTCACGTTGTTACACACAGTCCTTACAAGGTAGGAACGTATATAGTATCGTTATACAGCTTTTCATTTCTGTTATACGTAAAACATATGCAAAGAAAGTGCGCCCGTCCAATTCAGAATGTGACTGAATTACATTAGGATGGTTTATTGTAATTTATAAGACGCAATTTTGGCGTGATATGATTAAGTAAAAACACTGCCAATCTAGCGTCAACCAATGCAATGCTTTCTCTTGGCATCAGGTTGTATTTCAAATGTTGTGCATTACTGAAAACTATTAATTTGTGAAATAACTTGTTGTTAACTTGTACCACTATAGCTTCCAAGTTTCTTAGGAGTATTTTAAGTACTTGATATATAATATATTTAATGAACATGGACGGGAAAAAAGCTTCGATAAGAGTTTCATAAAAATCCTTGACATTTAAGAAACGTTTTTATCACAGCCAATTATAGAAATGCATTACTGTCTGTTTTAATGACATATATCTTTGTATTAACAGATACCTGGTATCCCTGGCAAGTTGTGCTTGTTTCCCTTGTCAGTTTGTCAGGTGTTGTTCTAGTCGTTATAGCAGTGGCCATTTTTGTGTAAGTATCTTTTTATGATGGATTTTAGGGGGATTTATTTGGAAGACATTTCACTTATTTCATGTTTGGGTTCAAATAACTATTCTATCCAATGTGTCTATTATCTTCCTTACTCTGTTTTATTTACCTATAGCTACGCAATGAAATGGTGGAGAAAGACAACAAATGTCCAACTTCCAGAGGTAAGACTTTAAAACGAACGTAACATATGTAGTCTTTCTTCATGCCATGTTTTTATTCCTTTTATTTTTTGTTTCCTCACATCAACAATGTCTAAAATTACAATCTGACATGACTCATATTATCTTCACTTCTAGAGATCAATGCATTCTTCAAAGTCAAAGGTACCTTTTATTATTCAGGTTAAACATTGTTAACAAATTTTATTGACTTATTTTCAGTTTTTCTTGACACTTGTGTAACTGCATTTCTTACTTGTTAGATTGTTGTGTCTATTGCTTTACTTAATATTTCTACAAAATAAAGCGTAGTAATATTTATGTTTGCACTGCGCATTTTCTGTTCCATGGGAAACAATAAATTAATTATACTTCATCTTTTTGTTCTTGAATTTTGTCTGGTAAATCGGTTAATGAAAAACACGTCCTCCCTAGTAAACATCATCCTTCATTACCTGTTTGCTGATAGCCATATGATAGGTTACCAGATCTCGTCATATAAACAGTTGTAAAATTATGGCCTTTTTCTTAAGAAACAAGATAAACAATGCTTTTCTCATGATAAAATATATGTTTTCATTACAAACGTGAATACAAAGTTCAAATGTTTATAAATGTAAACTAATATCTTGCTAAATTCAGACATGATTTCATATTTGAAAAAGTGTCATATGATGTTTTGCCATTGATAAGCTGTAGTGTTTTGAACCTTCCATTCACGTAAAACGGTATGTACGAGTGTTTAGGATGAATGACTGCATTTTTACATTCGGAAACAGTAATGATTTAAAGTTAATCATTATTCTTTAATTGTACTGAAAATATATATATATTGAATATTTTGATTTATATACAATATCATTATTGCTGTGTAAATCTTGGGATGATTTTACATTCTATATGTGAGCAGTTACCTGAAAGGGATAATGAACAGCCGTTAGTTAACGTAAGTCTGCTAAACCTTTTATACTTAGTTATCGATAATCATTTGGTGCAATGCTATGACTTGAGGCATGTGATGAAGATTACATTGAATAAGTATTAGTTTTAGCAAGGAAGTGACCAGGTCGTTGATATTGTAGTGATTTACCGCTTTGAAAAACAATGATAAAAAACACGTGACAATGGAGACAGACAAGTTTGTACTATGTGAAGGTTTTATCAAGTATATATCACATTATACTACCTTCCTTGTGATCTAAATTAGAACTTCAATGTCATGTCAATAACTCAATACTTAACCATCCATTGATATCTGTTATGACAATTTCCAACTTAATAATTCTAACCACATATTTAATGTTAGTCAATATGATGGTATTTTTGTTCTCTTATGACAGGAGGAGATCACAATGTCAGCAAGGGGATCTACAGTGACTACTGAGGCGTATGTGATGATCGTCGACTCATAGCTTATCTAATGCAGTTATGTTACGGTGTTCCTTAACTGTACATTATATAGAAGCATTGATACACAATGCATGTACTTTTGTATTTACACGTGAAAAATTGATTGACGATGTCTAGCTGGAAAATAAAACAAATGAATTGAAACTATGATGGGAACTATATGCATGTATATCAGACGAGATTTTTAAAAAAAATAGGTAAATAGTTCCCTGTTGAAGAATTTATATTGTCCCAAAAGTCTTACAAGATGATTCTTATTAAGCGCAGTTCAGTTATGAAAATAAGATAATTTACAGATAGTTTAATTGTTTTGTTTTCTCAAAAGTATACCTGTGATTATCCTCCTCTCCAGTACAGCTAAATCCTTGGTCAGTATTCGCTTCATTACTTCATTTAAAACGAGGATATCGCTTTCGTTGTTCATAAATCTCTAAATTTACATTAATACATTAATATTTCACACTACAAGTTAATTTATATATATTAAAAGCTCCATTGGACCTATATCTATACATAAATATATGTATCTGATGATATATAAGCACATGTTATTATATACAATATCTGAAAGCTGTTTCTTACCCAGTTTACAAATTTAGATTCAAAATCACAATGCAAATTTCAAATATTCAATTTATTTGTTAAATTCACACACAATAAAAGCCCGCTAGTTTATATATTTATTTTACCTATCCCATTCCTTCTTAACTCAGTACTTCTCCAAATGACCGCAGTTTCCTACTCTACCTCTCTAGCCTACTCATGTACCCGTGTTATCTTCCTTAATCATCGATACAAATGACCTACCTCCCTTTGTTATCTCACATATCTATGTCACCATCCTTTGTAATTCACTGTCTCTATCTAATATCAACTTTCCTAGTCATCATAACTATCTCCATGAGTCATCAATGCATTCCCTTCGTTATATTACACATCTGTTTTACCTACCTTTGTTTTATACAGCAGTATCACCAATTCTTGGTTATAACATCTATCAATGTTCATCTTGCCGTTGTTGTCATATATTTCTATGTTATCTTTCCATGTTATCACTTTTACTGTGTAACCTCCCTTAGTTATCAAATCTGTCTCTGTAACCCAACTTACCTTTTTAATCTGCTTTAATTATCACATTTTGTTTCTGTGTTACCTCCCTTGATTTTGGCATTAATTTTAGTTTGTTTTCTCAGTTACCATAACTTACTTTTTTACCTTTATTATTTTTGCAATACCAATATAACCCCCCTTTCTTTGTGTCACTACACGGCATATCTATCTATTACCCTAGTTTGTTTTCATATTTTTCAACCTTTCCTGTCCTAGCACTTCTCTCTGTCTGAGGTCAAATGTTGAAGCAAAAATGTGTTATATAACTTTCTATAACGGTCATATAAACAACATGTTAATTGAAAACAATCACAAATGCATTTATCCATTGTTGTTTTTTGTGTCAGATTTTTATACAACATAATCTATTTTGTTTTAAACTAACTTACATAGAACTTGTCTTTTAAACATTAACGTCGTAAAAGCTCACATTTCAATGTTTGAAGACCAAAATGACACGCAGCAGTTTCGACTTAACGTTTTAAGTATGATTATTTTTTTTTAGTTTTTTAGTAAAACACACTCACTCACTCAATCACTCACTTACTCGCTCAATTTATAAATTATTGTATAAAACATTTGTATATGTATCAAATAACATTCAATTTTATTAATTGATCAGTTATGAATTTTTAGGAAATATTTAGATGATTAAGTATTATGTTACTTAATCAAAAACTGCACTTCGAGTAAGATCCCAAAATCGATGTTTCATTGAATTGTAGTTACTAAAGTCAAATGACTTTACAATTTTGATAGCCGAAGGCATACCCGGTCTGTCGATAGTAAGTAGCAGGGATTTTCAAGTGTTTATGCATTATTCTATATATGTGGTAACGATGGAAAAGCTGCCATCAAATACCAAAAGTGAGTTTCTTTTATTTAAAAATATTTTAAGATTGAAAAATGCTAATATATTTTGGGAGAGTTATCGGATAGTTCGTCACCTTGAAAGTTCATCCAGACATGATTCAGTTGTAACCGAGAGACTTTTGATACATAACCTTATAAAGATGTCTGTATAAAATAAATTGAAACTATATTTTAAATATGAAAATACTTTTATCAACTTGAATTAGGCATATTTCAATCAATAAACACACGTTCCATAGAGACCGGAAGAAGGAAGGATTAATAAAAATTCTGAAGGTTTAAACTGATCACGAAATTGGCTTTATAAATAGTTAACACGAAATGCAATCATTGCCGCCGACTTGGATGTATGTGTATTTTAAACATTGTCGCAATGCTGTTTTTCATATTTTATTAAATTACCTCTTACATGTAGTATTAATGTTTGTGTCTTTTGTCCAATATTAACCTACTGATATACTACTAATCAGAGACGACAGAACTCATTTATATATCTATTGTATTTTATTTCAAACATTGTCGCAATGTTGTTTTTGATATTTTATTAAATTATCTCTTACATGTGGTATTGATTTGTGTGTCTTTTGTCCAATATTAATTACTAATATATTACTAATCAGAGACGACAGAACTCATTTATATATCTATTGTATTTTATTGACAATATTCAATACAGATAAGTATAAAGAAAATACTATATATATATATATATATATATATTAATAATAAAACATGAAAACAAGTAGTTCATTGTATTCATTTGTTTTAGCCGTAGATGGTTGCGAGGTCCTCAATAGATCAGAGGAATTCGATTAAAATAACTTGTGTTATTGTATGTAGTATCAAAATTTCTAACAAAAAAAATAACTTATTTTCATCACAGATATCAATTCAATATCACCAATATATGGTCGGTTATCCAATGCGTTTTACGTGTTAAAGCTAACTGGCGCTCTGTTCATGACACATCCATAAGACGAAAGGATATATATTCCCCATTCCATGCCAGCTTGTGATTTTTGTTGTTTCAATGAGAAAATGATAGTTGGAAGAGAGCACCAGCTTGCCATATCCTATTCAATTTAGAAATAATTATGTTGTCTTTCCTCCAATAACAAGAACTCTGTTGACCATGTCATATTTGCATAACCTCAATAACCTGAAATCGAGGCTATGAGCGAGATCTCATACCATTCACTTACCACGATAGTGACTTATGTATATGTACCTAACTTGGGAAGTTTACATGCCACTACTGATTCCAAAACCTGACTCTTGTTTTATTTGTCGATTCTCCTGAATGAAGCACTAAATATAACGATTCCTGTGAAGGATGTACTAAATATGGCGATTCCTGTGAAGGATGTACTAAATTTAACAATTCCTGGAGTGTCTATTGCTGTTGGTCGTGTTACGGGTATACTACTAGCGGCGGCGTCGTTCGGTTCTATAAAGCTGATAACATTGTATGGACTACTGCTTGTAATAGGTCACTTGGGAATAATCATGAGCGGGATTTACAATATAGATTATGGCATTTGGATCAGCAGTTTCCTTTCAGGGTTTGGTGTATCTGTTTTGTCACCATGTCTTTTTACTTTGACAGAGAAACATTTGTTCCCAGTTTCTGGTAGAATTGCTGCATATTTCATTGTAACATCATGTTTCGGTTCTGGTTTAAATTCATTATTGATTGGATATCTCCTGGATCACGTGTCATATATGTATTTTGGGCATGTGTTACTCATAGAGAGTGTTATTTATGAGCTTCTTATTTTAATGTGTACAAAAGTGATTCGTTCAAATACACCTGTCCGCGTTGATGGCCCCCGAACAGTCGAAAGTAATAATCTGGAGGCGTCTTTACACATATAACACATACAAATATAACATAATCGCATGGTATTATAATATTGAAACAACATGGGATAATCCTATTATTTATAAGAAGAAATCTGTAAAAAATGTTATTTTTTCCTAAGTGACAATCGGTATGTTCATCTGTAGAGATATAAGAAGTTCTCTTTTCAGCTTGTTTTTAATATCTTAATTAAAATATTTTATCATCTAATAATAACAAGGGTCAAAATCCAACTCAACATTGATACAAGAATAACTAATGAAACAAAAATTTACGCTGAAATTTCAATACGTCAGGTATATATAAGCCTTTCTAGAATGTAGTGGTTTCATTAAAAAATATACCATTGCATTATTAAGGACAATTTTAAGGCTCTAAATCAACCCATTTGAATACAAATTTATGTTATTTGAAAACGGAAAATTCTAGACATGGAAACCTAAATATTACAGTTGTGCAGCTTAGTTGAACGTTATCACTATTGAGACGGCATTGCTTGTCGGGACTTTAATTTCCGATTCTGGAAGGCATATACGACAGACAGCCTAAAAGACGTACTGTTTACAAGAACTATAAAGAAAATACTGATATGTTAGCAGAAACTTAATCTTAATTCAAACTCAAATTCAGAGAAAGTATGACAAAATATGAACAAAAGAAAGATTTAGACTAAGACTCATAAGATGTTACAGAAAAGTAACACCTTCTTCATAGACGACAACGTCCATGTAGATCTTGGTCAATTCAATTACATAATGTTCAATACCAGGTAAGACATCAATACTATACCAAGTTCCATTTCTAGGGTTATGATAAATAGTAGAATACCGACCAATAGACTATAGGATTCTCATAAGATCATATAAAAGGTTAGTTATTATCATCGACAGTCATGTTGGGAGAGAACCCTGATATTTCAATATTAAAAAAAAAAAATAAAAGAAAGAACGACTTCGTCCAAATGTCATTCCAATATATGGTAATAAAAGCTATCACAGGCAATGATACAAAGCTCTTTGTTTAACTGTCTTTAACCAACCATTGAAAATGTGGAAAATAAGATCAGATCGAAAAAAAAAAAAAACAAAACAAAATTCAGTGATTTGCAAATATGATGTTGTCACTGGAGATATGCATGCATATGCACCGGTATTCAAGAACATAAAATGTATTTTATGTCGATATATCCAAGTCATCTTTCTGCAATATTCCAAAGGAAACTGTGTCGAAGTCTTCTTTCAAAACGGAACTGGTTCGCAATGGTTTCATAACAACTAATGTACAAAACAAATAACCTAATTTATATTTACCTTTGAGTACTTTACTCAGTACATTCTAATGACATCAAACGTTTCGTTGATCGTCAGAAGTAATCGATAAATTATTGATAAATTTCAAAGCGCGTTTCGTAAAAAATCCGTCTAGATTAAAGAAGAAATATGCGGAGACCCATAACTAATCACACGCAACAATATAAATAGTTATCATCGTCAATAAATTTGGTGGTCGAGTAATACTACTTTTAAATACAGAACTTATTTCGATTACTTGTATAAATGCAAAACGTTATTTGAACACTGGTATTTTGAAAAAGGAATTTAGATATACGGATACCATCTATCGACATATGAAGACTTTTGAAGTGTTTTCGTCAATGATCCTTATAGATATATCTTTATGAAACAATATACAGTAATTGTTTCCAGGTCACTGAAAAATGTAATTACTTATTTTTTTTACTTAATTTTTACTTCTGCATACCTCCTTAAATTAACCCATGTATTGCATGTTGTAACAAGACGGGCATTTTGTTGATAAATAGTAGACCATACAAACTTTTTTGCACTTCTTTTTCTCCCAAATTATGGTCATTTTGCCGTATAATATTAAGATTTTTTTATTGTTAACAAATATGACATACTATATTCTAAACGTGTAAACAATTTCAACAACCAACCACGATGCTTACAAAAATTATATATAGCTTAATCATAAACAATTTTGTCAACAGTCGTTTGGTGGATATATACAAACTTCGGTATTTCGAACTTCAATATTTTGAATTTCTCGGTATTTCTAACTTTTAAAAAAGTCCCGAATTTTTTTACTATATAACTATAGTAATTTTACCATACTTATTTCGAACTTTTACATATAGAATTTTTCGCTATTTCGAGCTTTTTTCTAGTCCGATTGCAATTAAAACATAGGAACATACACGTCTTATTTCGAAGTTTTGAAAATTTACCTGTACGAACACTGACATGTAACCCTTCGGCGGTTTTCAGACCTTCAGACCATGCCGCGCTACCGGCGTGTATGAATGCACGCGGAGTGTGTGTATATGCTATGAGTCGGTCAACGTTGTTTACAAGAGTGATTAATTAAAAAAACAACACGGACCAAGCTGTGATGTTTACTTTACGGCAAGTGGTTATCCCGTTAATTGTTTAATCGGTAACGACACCGACAGTCTTAGTGTGAAACTCGGTGACATTAGTGCTACTTTAGAAAAACATTTTGTGCGGGGTGTTGACAGAAGACAAACAACGATGCAAGACTTCTTCATGAACACAACTCGAGAAAAATAGTTATTTAAAACAGACTTTGGTGCTTTGATTCAATCATTTAAATGGTTAACGATAATGCTGGAATACAGTTATCATTATTTCCCAAGCTTGTGTCGTTTCGTTATAAAACGCTAAATCTGTATAATGAAAAAAAACGTGTTGCTGTTAACCTCGTGTTAACACCGTGTGAGATTTAAAACATCTAATCGTATGTATTGTTTTATTGTTTGTTGTTATTACTTATTAAATATTTAAGCTGTATATCTGTCTTTGTTCAGTTTGTCAAGGTAGTTAAATCAATCGTTCAAATGAAAGGAGTGTTATCTTCATGATCAGCCGTAATCCTGTTACGTCTGACCACGAAGGTAATGGACGTAGACACACTGCAGCTTCTCGGACCATGGAAATAAATGAAAGGGATGAAGAATAAATATAGCAACTAAAAAGGGATCATATCAAACAATATATTGTAGAGAAATATATGATCGGTACACTAAATAATAATCCAAATACATATATATCAAACATCGGTAAAGGACATGGATTTTATACCGTGTATATTTAATGCGTAATGCACATATACATCCGAGTAAAATTTCATTCTATGAAATTTAAATCCATATTCACATATCGCAGTCCCGCTATATCAAATTTTTTGGCTTGGTCCCTTGAAGTTCGAAATACCGAAGTTTGACTGTACTTGACTTATATGTTTATCACATAAGAAGTGTTGTTGTGCGTTGTAAAGGTTTGATTGGTCAGCTCATCCGCTCGTGTCTTTCCGCGGAAGGGTCATATTTCAGTGATATTCAAGAAACTCATGTTTCAGTTTATGACCCAGCCGTAGTATGTTCAGTGAAAAAAGCTATCATACCAGGAGAAAAAAAAAAAAAAAACATTCACAGGTTTGTGAAATGTAAACCTTGCCTGAAACAATTCTCGCCGAGATGTTTTCTTTAGAAAAGGTACGTGGTTGTTTTGCAACCATTTTGTTAAAAGTATGCTATGCATGAAATAATGGTTTCATCATACACAATAGTTGTTATGCAATTCAGGACCATAGGTGCATGGTTGGATTGTTGATGACAGCTTAACTTGGCAATATATGCTGAGTATGCTGGGCATGAAATGTATAGGATCTGTAAACAATGTTTTTTTTTTATAGATTGCGTAGTATGAAAGTCAGAAACAAAACAAGTGCTGTCATGTGTTATTCAACACAGCGTTTTCATTTTGTTACTACTCAAGGGTTGGTATCGATTCTCTTAACCTCTATCTAAATGAGAGTCAGGGATCGACCGCGGAACATCTCCGACGTATTATGATAAGACTCGGTCAGAATTGTAAGTATAATTTATTTAATACATTTATCATACATACACCACAGGACGGTAGATAATTAAAAATGTAGAATTATTAGTGAACATATCAGTCCTCTTAACATCCTTATATATTCTTTTAAGCAGAAATATTACCCATCCAATGGACATGAGACTATTTCTTAAGTAAAGTGATTAGTGAATGAAATGAGTGTTAAAACACGGAATATTGAGAAGAAATAATGAATCAACTATTCAATATATTAATATGAAGATTTTGATCCAGGCGTGAAGGCAGGGGATACTTAATATGGTTGCAAATAGAGAAATATTGAATCAGGAAGGGAATAACTTTCGTAAAATTGACAGAACGTAACAAAGCTAATGAAAAGTAAAAAGTATGTCATACATAATGATAATAACAATTAAAATATCTGTGATGAGAAACCTGAAGAACATAATGACAAACTAATGAGAATCATTGTGAATATCACAGTTACTAACCATGAAACATGGTTAAATGAGCTGTGGATTGTGATGACAGGTTGAAAAGTTGACAAAAAATTTGTACTACATGGTGAGATATGTGATACTCTAAGATAAGTTGACAAGTGTGTACTTCATGGAGAGATATGTGATGCTATAAAACAACAGCTGTCTACCGTTCATCTTCCAAATATTGTTTTGAGGATGTCATGGTGTTGTAATGGTTAGGCAGTTTGAGTTCGAGGCCCGAACAGGGCACGAGGTCTAAAATTGTCTTCCTCCGTCAAATCTGTTACAATGTTCAGTATATATATGTATGTGTATACATTTTGCTCTTGACGTGCTTGAAAAAGTTATACAAAAAAATGGGAAACTGACAGTGGTATGACATGGACTTGTTAACATTTCGTTGTTTGGACACGTATCAATGCGTGTTCACCTACCCTAGTTTCTTTGACACACACTTCGATTATTTTACTCATGTATAGGGTAAAAAGTATCTGAAATATTCTTATCAGATTAGGGAATTTCAGATAAGTTTATTCCAACCAGTCCGTCTTTACAAATACGGGTGTTTGCAGACAGTGTTTCTACCAGTACATGTACCACACACGTATAGACATATGACCAAGACCTCTTTTGTTGTACGTATACACAGTACACGTTATTGAAGGGTTATGTGAAGCTTTTATATTAAGGTCAACTTTCCGGGCCAGTGAGTGTAGTAGAAACCTTTAAATACACCTCACACATGTATTGAAATCTTGTTTGTGTATACATCCGTGACAAAAATCCAGTCGCCATTAAACTTAGAAATGTGGACAAGAAGAGTCGTGCTAAGTAAAGATGTCTGTTTTATTCTTTCTTTTATATTCAGCACAAGCAGGTCTGAAGGTGAGTGATTTAAACATTTTCACTAAACAAAAACTATCAGACATCAGGTTTATAGTTGATATGAAGTGCAATCATACAGTAGAATTTACTTCCTGGTTGGAGAAAATAGTTGAGATCTTATGGTGTTGTAATTAAAATACAATGCTTATAGTAATTGCTCTTGAATGTACAATATTCGGCGGTTTTATCTAGGATTAAGTTCGACATTTTCAAAATTATTTCCTGTCTAAACAACGATAATGTTTTTGAAAAATACTGTTCAATATTACTTAATTTGTTTTCCTTAATTTCTAATTTTGTCTAAGAAATGTTTATGTCAGGAAATGACTGGAGGTATTCACAGTCTTTAGCTAGGAGAAGTTTTCATCTGCAACATAATCTTATAACTATGTATATGCATTGTTGTCAGAATATATGAAAACAATGTATGTTATGTCCTGGCTAGAAATGCTTCTGTGGTAACCGGATGCGGTAATTAAATATACAGCGGCGGGTCCGTAATCCCATCAATTCGCCCTTTTAATATATGTTTGTATGTATCAAACACCCTGGATCTTTTGCACACTGAACGCGTTAGTCAGAAATCGTTTGTAATGTCAATATGAAGAAATTAAGTCATGAATTGAGATTGGACAAAATGCACACCTCCGTTTGACTTTGTCCAAAAATTGTTTACTTTAAAACCTGTCGAAATGTCACTTTTTAATGTACCAACGCGAAATTTTAGTTCTGGCTTGCCAAGGCTTGCAAACATAATAACTTATAAGACTTGCTTTCTTTAATCTCAAATGAAATGGTTACTCATTAAAATACCGTATAATAATTTCTGACCAATTAATATATTGTTATGAAATATTTCGTTCTAAATAACTTGAAATGCTATTTGTTCACTAAAATATGTATGGATAAATAAACATTTACATAGATGAATTAAAATCTCAATTGTAAGGTACATTCCAAGCAATATTAATTATGGACATGGGATGAATTGAATCATAGATATTTGCAGGTTAAGCGTATGGGTTTTCTATATAGTATCATATAAAGATTTCGATTGAGATGATTGTGTGATTCCATATTGTGAAAATTTAAATAACATTTAAGTAACTTCATGCATTAAGTATCCAGTTATTTATAACCACACATTAATTACATGATATTAATTTGGTGTCAACATTTCGTTTCAGTTCCCTCTAGTTGTCTAAATCATGGCCTTATTCTATACCTTTTTCAATTGTCAAATCAAAGCCAAAAGGTAAACCACTTCTTTCCTTCACCCTGATGTGCTGGAAGAATGATAAGTTAAAACTAATAAAGCTTAATATTGTAGGCAGTGAACATTCCGCAACCATTCGAATGACATGCGGAGGTAGGGTAAATGCAAAGATAATAATAATATCAGAAAATAAGATATGATACATTTCCAAAAAATAATTCGTATTAGCATTGTACATATCCAAACGCTAACTCCTTTTTATCTATTTATTATTCTTACATTTCTATAATCCATGTCACATATCTTATATACTTACATTGCTGTAGATGACATAATGATCGTGGTCTGTTAATACGTATTAACCTCAGCAAAGATCCATATTACAATAAATAAAGAAGAATATGTATCATTATTTTATCTTCCAGGAGATCTGTCGGCTTTTAAGTCAGCGGCACAAAGTAGTAATTTGTTCAGCAATCAATGGCTGGCAAGTGCGGCTGTAGACACTTGTCGAAATACATTAATAACTTCGGGCTGCTGTACACACACGGCTTCTCCTGGTCCAAAAACAGTATGGTGGCGAGTTGATTTGGGTCAGATAAGCACCATCACCACTATCGAAATAATTTACAGAGGTAAGTTATACCACATATTACAGAAAGCAGTGTTGCTCTAAATTAATGAGTTCAAAAGTTTGAGAGCGATTGACCATTTTTCTTTTAGAAAATTGGATTTCTTTCCTCATCTACATCACTTGAAACTGCGTTGTATTTTGGAAATCAATCATATGCACTTCATTTATTTATAAGCAAACAAGGACGAAGTAGAAAGCCATTGTCAGCTAGGTCATATTCTAAACAATACAAATGTAAATACGACATGGATTTCTAAATAAGCCCTCCTTCCGTCGGGGATTAATGTGTCATGTTGTCCGGAGTAAATCATAGACCCATATAAGTGGTTGATTTGGTAGTAGTTTCTTCATCAATATACACATATATTGCTAATTGTTTGTTATACATCACTTTTCATCACACTATTTTCATACTCAGATGATTAACAGAGTAATTCATGGTTTAAAGTAAAAAGAGTATTAAAGTGTTTTGAATTTCATCAATACCATCCTTGAGGAAGCAGGAAATTGATGATTATGTATGTTTTTAATTTCCCTTATTGATCCAAGCTGTTGTTATTAAAGATTTCGATAATACGTCATAGTTTCATCGGTGACTGTAGGTCGTCTCCACACAGTAAAATGTTACTTCTATTTCACCTACTTTTTAATGAAATCCATTTGGCATCGTATAGGTTTTCGTTTAAAGAGGTAACACCGAATGTGTATAAACATAATTTCAATATAGATGGCCATGACGGTTGGTACTGCCGAATTTCGAAAAAAATAAGAAGGAAAGTGGATTACTATGATAGCATACACGAAAATGGCATTTTAAACTGAAACCCATTGAAGATAAAATTACATATAAACATGTTGATTTCATTTCAAATTTTTGCTTATAGCAAACTTTCAGCAGCGGTTGGCAGGATACCATCTTTATGTATCCAATACCACCGATTCTCCAACACAGGGTGTCCTCTGTTTTGAGGACAAAAGCAGCACTAGAGAAGCCGTATCGTTGGGGGTGATTCATTCATGTCCGTATGTAGGTCGGTATGTAACTATCTACAACTACAGAAGTACCCCAAAACGTTACGAATGGTATGAAAATAGCGCTGTACTGGAGCTGTGCGAGGTAACAGTGCTTGGTAAGTTTTTCCTTGAAAAGACTTGGAATTATCTAGCTTGATTTAGTTTCCGATTTCCTTACCGTAATAAATATGAATATCGATTAACAGTTAAAACCGATAAAAATAATTTTATTTATTTATAGATTAAAAAGAGTCCTTACTGGTCAATCTAATTAAGTTTGATCCTGTTTTATTTTTTTTATTTCGTTTAAGTGTAACTTTCGCCCGTTATACACTATTGTTATAATGCCGATAACTAAAGATCAACAGATGTTTGATTGTTTAATATCACGACTGATTTGTATGTTTAAATGCATTTAAGGGCCAAGTTAACAGTTTTCGAATATTAGAATAAAAATAAATACACGAAAGAATAGATAATAATAAATGAATACACGAATAGTTAATAAAAATAAATTAATAAATGAATGAATGAATGAATATTTTAGTAAAGTCAATGCCAGTATCAATAGTCAATCAATCAATCAATCAATCAATCAATCAATCAATCAATCAATCAATCAATCAATCAATCAATATATTTTATTTGAGTGTCACATATCACAGTACATAGTAATAAAAACAATATTGAACAGTTATTAATAAAAGTGATACCCAGCCGATATCGGCTTATGAGACACTATAGTAACTACTGTTGTGTGACTTTCAATTATCCTTTATCGCAACGACAGAATGATATGATAATAATAGTTGAAAGTAAAGTGGAATTGTCCTTGTCTATTTTAGTTCCTTCTTTTTGTAACTTTCTCATCTTTCTTAAATATTTTCTGTCCAAGGATGTGCAACAGGTTTTTACGGAAACGGTAACTGTAATGAAGTGTGCCCGGGAAGCTGTTACGGCGGAAACTGTAACCCGATAACTGGTTCTTGTCTATGTAAGTCACTTTCAAGTCTGCTGATTACATGTAACAACTATATATGGTATGCACAAGCACTTTTTGCCATTTTTAAATGTAAGACGACTTTATTCTATTCTGTTTCTTTGTGTGCTTTCAAAGTTCTTTTAGTCTCAGTAGTAAGTGCTTGAACTTTTACAGAAGTATACTCGGCGTCAATGAAAACGCAACACCTTTAAATTACTGTCAAAATTTACCAATTATAGTTTTGAATACAATATTTAATAAAATACCTAAAAGTTGATTATGTCCATAACAAAATTCACTCAATGCAATCAGCACTACATCATGGGAATACTTTGATTTCCAGTGACTAATGTCCATACCCCCAAAATCAAAATTACCACGTTCTAATGTGGCCACCATTTGCAGCGACACAAGCGCGGCATCTTCGAGGCATTGACCGAATAAGGCGTTGAATTTTGATTTGAGGAATGTTCCTCCACTCTTCCTGAAGAGCGATTTCAAGCTGCCGACGCGTCTGGGGCTGTTGTGGTCGCTCTCTCACAGCCCTACCCAATTGGTCCCAAAGATGCTCGATCGGACTAAGATCCGGGGAAAACGCGGGCCACGGGAGGGTTGCGATGTTCTGATGTTGAAGGTAGTATGTAGTGATACGAGCGGTATGTCGTCGTGCATTGTCCTGTTGTAATAACGCTACGTTTGGGTGTCCAGCAAAGAATGGAACAGCAGGAGTTAAGACTTCGTTGATGTAGCGCTGTGCTGTTAGATTGCCGTCAATAATTACTAGAGGGGTACGGTATGCAAAAGAGATACCTCCCCACCTATCCGTTTCCGTTACACAGCAGTCCAAAAACCTTTCACCTCGACGTCGCCACACTCGAATTCTACCGTCATTTCCTCTGAGGCGGAATCTCGATTCGTCAGTAAACAGGACGCCAGCCCACCGACGTTGGGTCCATCATCGGCGCTGTCTTGTCCAATTTAGACGATTTTGACGGCGAATTTGAGTCAATTCGTTTCCTCTAAATGGACGGCGCGACGCTAATCCGGCTGTGCGAAGGCTGACAAACGTCTGCCATGACTTCCTATCGTCTGTCTAGCCGTTCTTGTCGCGGTTTGAAAACGATCTCGCAGGTGACTTAGTCGAATGTAAGTCGAATGTAACGGTCCTGGTTTGGCGTCGTCACTCTCTGTCGCCCCGGACGAGGTCGATCTCTCACGGATCCGGTTTGTCGCACTCGTTCTGCCAGTCGATTGATTGTGGAAGCAGAACAACCCATTCTCCTGGCAACTTCCCTCTGAGATAGCCCTCCTGTCAGCATACCCCGAGCTTCGTGTCTTTCATTGTCTGTCAGTCGAGGCATTTGTAGCAAATAATGATGACAATTTAAAAAAATTGATGACGGAAAAATGTCTGCCTGTAACTACAGTGTTCACTAGTAGTGAGTGAGCAAGGATATAACGCACTTTAGAGCGCCGACGTGCAAACTCATGCTTTTACGACAATGCCCTGTGGTACGACAAGGAGTTGATATTACTCGACCATTATTTCGTTAGTTTTGTAGTGCATTGTGTTGTGGCTAAATACAGCAGAATAAGAATCTAATCCTTGTTGTGAAGAATATATTATGTCTAAAATTTTAGTGTTGCGTTTTCATTGGCGCCGAGTATATATTAAGTATTTGCTCTTTCGGCAGTACCGCAAGCGTTTCAAAATAGTTTCTTCGGGATAAACTACAAATATGTCTTGTAAAGTGTACATCTGATCAGAGATTTACTATCAACTGCCATTCTTTGATTTTATATAAGGTCATCGACATCCAACCACGCATTTGTTATTTATAACAGTAAGTTCTTACTATCGATGCTACACATTCTCCTAGAAATTTTAGTTACTAAACATATGAAATAGAACACATTTTATCATTCGTATAAAACTGAAAAATTCTTAAATTTTAGTTACTAAACATATGAAATAGAACACATTTTATCATTCGTATAAAACTGAAAAATTCTTATGCTTTACTTTCTAGACTGTTCCCCTGGTAAATATGGCGTTGTATGCGACAGAAACTGCTCAACGAACTGTAAAAATAGCCTGTGTGATAAGGATTCTGGAAGTTGTTTTGGTATTTATATTATTTCATTCACTAGTGTAAATGACATAGAGACACTCCTTGTTTCTCAATGAATAACAGTTTTATTTCAAAGAGATGAATGGGAGATTTCTCTCACTCAGCAACACAAGAACTTTGATTCAACAAGAGAGAAGTCTTATTCTATTTAATACCTTTTTCACACCTCTCTTATTGATGCCAGTTTGGATAGATCTGAAATCAATGCTTTTGTATCATTACTCTGTGGGATGTATAGTTTCACAATCCGAGATCATATAATTTTGTAATATAGTTCACAAACTTAGACAGGAACATATATTGTAAATATGAAATAGGTGTATATAATTTTGTAATATAGTTTACAAACTTAGACAGGAACATACATTGTAAATATGAAATAGGTGTATATAATTTTGTGATATAGTTTGCAAACGTAGACAGGAACAAACATCGTAAATAAATGTAGATTTTAGTCGGTATTGCCTTCCGTGTCCTTACTAGTGTCAGAACTAACTATCAAATCAAAATTTGAAACTTAATATAATAGGTGGATTCTGAAAGTGGCATACTGGTCCAACATTATTTGACTCTACTGTGTCTTACTCTACATCTTAAATCGACAACTGACTTCTGTGTCTTTTGTTTAATCATCCAGATAGCGAAGAATGTCTCAACAGATATCAAAACATGCATTATATAAATGTTAAAATCACAATTACATAATATGATAAAGAAGATTTAATATACTCTCTATAATTCTAGAATGTTATTCTGGAAGGCACGGCGATACGTGTGATCAAGAATGTTCCGTAAACTGTAAGGACAGGTTGTGTGCCAAGGACACTGGGTTCTGTACTGGTGAGTAAATTCCCCTCAACGTGCAGTGAAATGGATTGGGATACATGTTTCATGCAATTCACAAAACACGGTTCATTCCTTTTTACTTCTCTGTAAGTCTGTTCATTTTATGTGACAGGATTTACAAGAAGGTGACTTTATGTTGACTATAACACATTTCCACTTTGTCCTGTTTACAGACTGCGTTAATGGGAAGTATGGCATTTTATGTTCTCTGGACTGTTCCGTAAACTGTAAGGACAGGTTGTGTGCCGAGGACACCGGATTCTGTACCGGTGAGTGCCTTTCCACAACTACGAGGTGAAATGGCGATTTCTTTATCACTTCTTGCATAAGTCTACCACGTTGATTTTGCGGGATGTACAAGTCGGTGTTTTATGTTGACTATAACTCGCTGCTGCTTTGTTCTATGTTTACAGACTGCGTCAATGGGAAATATGGCTTGATATGTTCTCTGGACTGTTCTGTAAACTGTAAGGACAGGTTGTGTGCCAAGGACACGGGATACTGTACAGGTGAATGACATTTCCCTATTATTTTAACAATGATAACGCATAAATATAGCATACTGTCACACGGTAAATATGGTTATTTCCGCTGGGGATGGAGTGGGGTCATGATTTCAAGAGACAATCTACACTATTTGTAATTGACGAACTTTTGCCTGTTTAAATATATATATAACATATGTGTTAAATAAGTCACAAATTCATATGCGTTGGTGAAATTTTCGTGGCTGAATGACTTCCGCGTATTTAGTGTAAATTTCACCCACGTGTAAATATCCTCGTTTACAGTAATCACTTCATATTTCATGTACATTGGAATGTTAACGTACAGTTGTAGCAATGAACCAGTGGATAGTGGTATCATTAGACCTTTTATGCGTCCACGGATCAAAAGTCATGTGTAGTATCGTAAACACGATAGTGATCCTATAACTACACTTGTTTATGATATAGACACTTAACTGAATCATCAGACACGGAAAGGCGAATGCAGATATATTGAATGCATTCTACACAGGCGACGGGTGGCTAGTTTTCTCCGATTTTCCCTTACAACATTTTAACCATTGACCATAGCGTTGCAGACTCACTTAGTACGGATATACTTCTTAAAACCTTACTAAATTATCGGGAGATAACACGTTTATCCAAAGATGTTGGAATATTTAATATTATAAAGACGTTATATAATGAAGTTAAAGGCAATGCTGAATGTCTTCCATTTACCCAGATTGTGTTGCTGGACGGCATGGTATAACATGTGAATTGGAATGCTCTATTACCTGTAAGGACATGTTATGTGCTAGAGACACAGGGTTTTGTGGTGGTAAGTAGATAGCTCCAAATCAAATATTTGGATAAAAAATTGTTTGTGGTAAAAGGAAACTTTAAAAACTCATTTCCAGTAAGAGAAATCTTTGCAATGACTGCCATTATCCAAATACACAAAACGGGGGCTCCGAATATCATAATGAAATTTTTCAGGAAAAATTTATTAACAGTTTATGATAATCCAAATGAAGGAGGAAGAAAGGCAATCATTAATGACATAAGAATTAATTGCGATCGTAATTACATGTGTAGTCAACCTTGAAAACGAGAAGCATATATAGAGAAAAAAACTAATAGTAATCTACTAATAGTCTACTCAATGTGCATTTCAGTATCGTTGTAAAAGTTACCTAATGATCTATACATTGAATGAATTCACGAATAACGAGCCCAGGCATACTCCGAGTAGATATATCAATGTTTTTAATCAAACCACATCATATATAGAGGGAAAAAGAGGAGTACAGATTTCTCACAAACCATCCGGAAATGTATCAAGAATTGTAAACATTTATCGGGTTGCAGCTGCCTTTGTCTGATATTTCGTCGGTTTTTTTCATGACAGCCTCGTCATCGATAAGGTTCAAGTGATTATATTATACCATTTTTGTGGTATATATGGTGTCAGTAAATGACAGACACAATGCATGGTTTTGAATGATGCAAGTTGATAATGTTTTCGCTTACACCGTAGGTATACGCGGTCTGTAATTCTTTCTTTTGTTCATGGTTTGACATAGTCTTATTGAATTTAGGTATGGAATATGATTCCGTTAACATGCCTGTACTTTGTGTTGATATCATTTTCACACCTTTCTAAAAGTGAATGAGTTTAAGATTTGAAAAAGAGATGTTTTTGTTTTTGGATATAACGAAAAAAAAACAATACAAAACTCATTTTATGTAGATTGGAACATTTATTTTGATTTGTACGCGTATGTTAAATACTGACTTTTACAATTACGACCATACATTGTTGCATGCAGAACTAACAATATCACCGACGGGTTCTTACAAACAGTGCCAAGAAGTAGTGAAAAACAAAATATATCAATATCAACTGTTGGGGTTAATGAAAATACCAGTGGACTTTCCATTGTTAAGAAAAATATTGAGTGCATAACTTCAGCATCGTTGTGTTTGGTCGATGCAGGTTCAGATTTATGTACTATCGAATAAAAAGTCATTCAGCTATTCATGTCTTGTTTACAGAATGTATTGCTGGAAAATATAGAAACACTTGTGATGAAAATTGTCCGATGAATTGTCAAGACAATGTGTGTACTCGAGACACAGGTCTCTGTATTGGCAAGTAGCTTTTACACTTGGCTGTATATAGTTTACATGTGGAGGTTATGACCTTTATTTACATATTGCTTAGAATCATTTCGACTATAACTTATTCTAGGTAATCTACCCTATGTATCGTATTACTACATATATGTCTAGTTACACTGGTGTTAGTGTAAAATTGATAACTTGTACGTGTGCCATGAACTAAACAAACATGATAAATCCCAAGGTCATGAACTCTATCTAACTTACATCATCACATTATGGCGGATAAATAAATATCAGTTTTCCAGTTAGTAACGTAATGTATTTCATTTACTCATTTTATGCCTCTTAGAGAGAGGAGAACTGATAGTCTAAATGTAGTTTAATGACAGACTATGGCCATTTGCTTTACCTACTTATCCAAAGATGTTCTAGATTACTTTGATCAATAGGACATGAAAAAATACTGACCTTTCTTTGTCAGTAGAAGCAATATGAGTTGCAGAACCACCATGTATGAACTCGTCGATACGCATGTTTCAACAAAATAGTTCTATTTTTTATCAGGGATTCGTCTCCTTGCATCCTTTACCAGTCTTAACAAATATGCTTGATCATGTAAAAATAATATACAACTACATTTTATAATATAATATAATATGGTCCATTGAGATTAATTCGATATGTATAAAACTGTATCTAATTTTACATACCTCTAACGATATTACAGCCTGTATTCCTACAAAGCGTGGTGCTACATGTGAATTGGATTGTCCCTCAAACTGCTTAAACGGAGTATGTGATAAGAACTCAGCATCCTGTTCAGGTAAGTATATCAGACAGTTCTGTTTAATTCTATAAGCTGTTACACAAAAGGCGTCTTTGTTTGCTCTTTTACATAAATATCTGTAATGACATTGCTTTAAATACGTCTCCAATACATGTCAGATGTGGGAGGTGTGGATAAAAAACAAAAAATACAAACACAAGTGAATGACGTATATAGTATGTCAACCGCTATAAAATCAAAGGGAAACGTGTCATTCACAAGTTATAAAATATTCTTCCTTCGTTGTATTTGAATAGCTATACTATAACATGAAGTGATGTTGATGGAATATCTAATATATATATTTCTTACATGAATGTTATTCATATGCATTTTATACGCTTTTACTGTTTATTTCGTTACCATGACATTTTGAGAACAAACTGAAAGCCATATTGTATTCATTCTGTTGCACTAGTTTGACCTCAAAACAAGTGCTTTATTCCTATTTGCAGAATTCAAATTGACCTAATCATTTACAGTACGTACCTTCAGGTTCTCAATCATTAAATCATAAATATTTATTTGATAAAACTGGCTTCTTGTCCTCATTAGTGTATGGCCGGTGTGTATAAGTGTATGGACTGTTTATGATCTGTATATTCTTGGAGGATAAATCCAGTATTACCAAATGTTTATATTTACCAGTTAACCATGTATGAGTAACAGTAAAACGTTGTACAATTTCTAATATCACTCATGTTATGGTCTAAATAAATTGATCAAATTAAATATCCCTAGTCGATGCGTTACTTATGTGTATGTAGTTTATCTAATGAATAAACATCAAGGAGTAACTCCCCCTTAACTCTATCACATAAATGCATATACATGTATGTAACATATTTCGTTCTTACTTTCCTTTTTCTGTACTACCTGTTGTAACTAAAAGACGATGACTAAGATAGGATATACCCGATGTCCAATTCAACTGACATTTGCTTTCTGTCAATAAAATTGGTTGAAATTAAAATCTCAATTCGTACAGCAGCACATCAAACAGTAATATCCATGTCTTGATGTTTAATGGAAATTCATTATAACAGCAGGTTGTGTTGGTGGATTTTACGGGACGAACTGTTCGATACCGTGCAACACCAATTGTTCTGAATGTCACCAAGAAAGCGGCGAATGTACACGTAAGCATTTTTTGTAAAACCTGAATGAATGTATTGATACATTTTTTTCTTCGCAAAATTTTCCTTTAATAATGTAATAAAATGTATTTGTTTTAAATCATCATCCCATTTTCTCAGAAATAAAAACTTTTGATTGTTTTGTTTCACAAAAGAATGCAAGCTGGGACTTTACGGAACGAGTTGCAATATGTCGTGTGGCCACTGTAGTAGTTGTCAACAAGTCTCCGGTCTGTGTGTGACTGCGTGTGATCCTGGATACCAAGGAAGTTTCTGTGAAACAAGTAATTCTTATAATTTTATATCCAGTTTAAGTTATAAAACCCAACGGTTTAGCGACAGTTTGTGACTCTAGAGACCTAAATCTGATAGGCAGACTGATTTGAAGCATAATTATCCATTATATTAACAATGGTTAACCTAACGTTAACTTTCGTTCACTGTCAGCAACTACTAATTGGTTTTCCCTCATTCTATGGAAACGAGACACAGGTCAGTGTTCTTTGATCCTGACATCAAATCCAAACTTCAAGAATTAAATGACAGGCATATCATTGTGCCTGTAGGTCAGGCAACCAATGACTTGATTCATGTCAGCAAACATTTTACCTGCATTTCCTGTATACAAAAAGAACTAGGTATACTTGCTAAGAAAAAATATCAAATACCAACATGATAACATGATCATAACTCAAACTCAAATTCCATATAACTAGTGCAAAATATGAACAAAGAAGGTATCCTAGCATTGTGCAATTTATCTTCATATTCACCAGAACAAGCCCAGAGGTCGGAAGGTAATGCGCCGACTACAGATGTAGGGGCGATCGTCGGACCTATAGCAGGCGTGATTGCTGTCCTTGTCATCGGCATTGTTATTGTCATCTTCATCAGAAGGTGGTAAAACATATTACTAATCACGTTCAGAAAACTATATATATAGCAAAACTGCAGAATTTAGGAAGTAATGTCTTATAAATTAGTAATTTGGTATAGAGTGACAGGTATTTATGGAATTACAGTTCATATTCATATCAACAATGTTTGTTGTTTCTTCTGGAGTTATCAAAGTTGAATAAAATTATAAAAGTTTCATATTCTGCTGAAAATGCTGACATTACTTTCATAATAACTTAGCATATTTTCTTTGTGCTTTTTACAATACTTTATTTATAAAGCTTTCTTTTGTTACGTCGTTGATTTTAATACTGTATTACTGTCTATTATTTACATGTCATACGTCTTCATAACATATACCAATATTTGACATTATTTCAGTGAATTTGAAATATTTTATATTATATCATGTTTGTGTTAATGATAGTTATATGAAGTAATATATCACAAGCAAAAACAACCGACCACATTTCCGGGGAAAATTTTTTTTAACAAATATTATCTGTTACAGGCGTCGATTGAGTGCCAGTAAACGGGACTCCTTTGATGATATAAGGCATCACAAAGACTACGATAAAAAGGTGTACGACCAACCCTTAGAGCAGATGAACTCACGTGCTGGCCGTGACATTCCAGATAAAAACGTCAACAATTCCATAGGTGATATTTCTTATTCTCACATTTCTGTCATCAAGTAATGGATAACAAAATATAAAGATAACTCGATATTCATTTTAAAACAAATTACAACAAGAAGATAAGACTAATGAAACTATATTTATAGTGCCTGACGATGAACCAGTCGAACCACCAAAAGACTCCGCCAACGTATATGTCAATGCCGAAGAAGTAACCATGAAATCAGATACTGATGAAAACATCTACTATAATTCTGGTCCTATTGGATTTCCTGTCTCTGAACTGAAATCTTTGGTACTTACTAAGATGCAAAATAAGTCGAAAGCGTTTGAGAATGAATACAAGGTAAGATGTTGTTCATACATTAAAAAAATAAAAGATAATGAAAAAAATTATAGATAATAATAATGATAATATATGTACATATAGTCACAGTCGATATTTGTTGACAAAATGAATAAAAATGTATATGAATTTACTCACTGAAGATTCAAATTGGGAATACACTGTTATTCTTCTTTTCTTAATCTTCTTATCCATTTTTAAAATTTAAATGATATTACCATTGTCACTTGACCTAGATTATTGAGGAATCTTAAAACATATATTTTATGTTTACTCTAGTCAATACCATTTGGGGATTTGCACGAGCATAAGATTGGAATGCTTCCACAAAATAAAACCAAAAATCGATTTAAGACCACGTTTCCCTGTAAGTACAAATTAATTTCAGTTATGACTTTCAGATTTTTAACGATTAACTCATTATACCTTATTTCAAGATTAAGTACATGTATATTGGTACACGTACTGTAACAGAAAGAAATGTGTATTATGTGCGTATTAGAAGGTCTCTTGTTATATTTATATTATTTAACGATTTCTTTTCACAGATGACCATTCTCGAGTGGTTCTTGATTCTGTTGGAAAGGATCCGCACTCGGACTACATCAATGCCAATTATATTGATGTCAGTAATACGTTTTAATATTAATCGCCAGTTAAACATGGATTTTGAAATTGTTTTCATGAAAACAAGTTTTGTTGCATTTTATTTATAATTATAGATCCATTTACATGCTTCATTGATTATTTGTTCATGTTTAAAAATGAAATGTTCGAAATGAAACGGTAATAATATCACAATATTTATATTAATATTTAATGTTCTTTCTTACAGAGTGTCACAAAAACTGCAGAATATGTCGCGACACAAGGTAAGTTTATGAAATGAAATAATACAAAAAACGTTTACTTTATAATCGCAAAAATTCACAAATAAGGGTTTTCGATACCATGTACTATTTATGTAAAACAGTGACATATTACTTTCACAACACTGAAAACAATCTGATACAGTTTAAAAAACTTGTTCAATAATAATGATGATACTCCAATAAGATGTGACAATTATTTTCTCTGACGCTTATTAATCCTATTGTGCAGGTCCAAGGCCTGGGACAGTCAACGATTTCTGGCGTATGGTTTGGCAACTTAAGACTAACAAAATTGTCATGTTGACCAACCTAATAGAAGGAGCAAAGGTATCATACAGAGTCATAATCCGCATAAAAGCATCACAGTACAGTTAGCAGTTAAGGTCTGATCGCTGTAGTATTTCAAAATCATAATTTAATATATAAGTTTTCATAAAAAAGGAACATCGCTAAATATTTCAATCCAAAAATATGTTCTTAAAAAACTATCATAATACATTTATAATGTATTCAGTCATGCTGAGTCATTTGCATTATTTATAATATATTTTCAGCACAAGTGTGATAAATACTGGCCTGATGAGGGACAACCATTGTCGACAACACATTTCAACATTATCCTGGATAGGGAACGATCTTATGCCTTTTATGTCATCCGAGATCTTACAGTAACAGAAAAGAAGGTAACAACTGTACTAAAATAAACAATAATTATAATAAATAAATAAATGAATAAAACAAATGGTAAAAGATGGTAAACAGGTCATCGAAGAGGTCATCTGAATAAGTATCAGAAGTCACTTTAATTGCAAGAGATATTAATTAGTATGTACTAATCATAAATGTAGAAAGCATTGCACCGTTCTTACATATTGAAAGTTATAACACATATATCAAAATAGCCATGTTAAATTGCATGTTCTTTGATCCATTAATAACTAGTACCACCACTTGTTTATATATTAATGTGTAACCAACAATCAATATATTCAGACGAAATCAGCACGACAAATACATCAGTTCCATTACATCACGTGGCCCGACCATGGTACTCCGGACCCTAATGAACTTGTCGTATTCCATCGCCGCGTAAAGCAATATCAGAATGTCTTAACAGGAAAGTTGGTGGTTCATTGCAGGTAAACATGAAAATTGAAAGTTCACTTATCTTCCTATACTTATACACGATTTTGGTATTTAGAAGATGTTTTCTAAAATGATTTATGTTTAAGGGTCGACTTCTTAAACTATTCTATTTTTAATCTTGTCCATGTATTCTGAAGTCTATATACATCTTGTTATTGTGTTGACACAGTATTCATAAAAATAAACTGTTTATCATAGGTTTGATAATTTTTGTTTGTTTGGATAAAGATGTATGTCTTAATTATCCTGTGATATGGGGAATATTTTAGTCATGTAAAAGGTTTTTCGCATCGACGATGGCGTTATTCAGTAATTGTCGACTATTTTTTCGCTAATTTTGTCTTTTATCGCCTCAAACAAGCGTAATTTGTTTCAGTTTCGTGGCTCAGAAAGATGTTTAATTTCAATTTCGTTCGGCCCGATGTATTTTTTTTTTATCAAAATATAGAATGAACATTTCATAAAAGATAAATTTATGCGCAGCGCTGGTATAGGCAGAACAGGAACATTCCTTGCCCTCGATGCTCTTCTGGATTACGGGAAAGAGTTCGGACGAATCGACGTTATGCAATACGTTAATACCATGCGAAAGGACAGGATAAATATGGTTCAAACAGCCGTGAGTTTAATAATGACGTCATCCATAAATTAAATATCCCCCTTTTCGCAAATGATACATAGTAGCTCTACACTTCCTAAACCTTGGACTATTACTTTTATTAAGCTATACACGTGGAAAGATTTATATGTAAAATGTAAAAAGTGAATGCAAACATTAAATCAACAAACAATGTGAATATCGATTTTTCAGTTGTGAATGTTCAAATCTACTTTTTGTTATTCCTGATATTGTTACGTCCTTAAATGAACTCTCTGCTCAGTAGATAGCGTGACAGTTTATAGTATCATTTGCACAAACTTTTCTCTGAATTTCACCAAACTTGCAAGCAATGTTTATACCTTTATATTTATAGGATCAATACATAGCTATACATCAGCTCCTTGTTGAAGCCTTTGATATGCCGGATGCACTTATTCCTAGAATGAAGTACCATGCAACACTAAACTCTCTCGTCAATGGCGGCCCAACGAACCAAACAAAACTACGTAAAGAGTATGAGGTAATGATTGTTTATTTCTTAAAAGTCTGTCATCGTCATGCTAATATCAATATCATCATCATCAATCAATCAATGCTAATGATGATGATGATCATCAACATCATCATCATTGTAGTTATCAATATCACTATCCTCAATGAATGAATGAATGAATATTGATGATGATGAAACACCTTCATAATTTTGTCATTATCATGCAAACATCAAGATCATCATCATCAAATCAACCAAACTCATCATGCAATCCTCCTCCTCCTATTCCTCCTCCTCCTCATCATCATAATTACCATCATTATGTTATTCATGATAATCACAAAAACATCACCTGCATGCAATCCTTATGATGATGATGCTTATGATGATGAGGATGCGGATGATGCTGATGCTGTTGCTCCTGATGTTGCTGCTGCTTATGATGATGATGATGATGATGATGATGACAACCTTCACATATACACACTTCTAGTCTGTTAAAGGATTCCACTCCCAATTCATGTCAAAAACTATTTTTATACAACTTTTGAACAACAAGATTTAAAGCTTTGATGAAAAATCTAGTTCGATAAGTATAATGTAGAATTAGAATGAAGATTTCATTATCAACTAAGTTGGCATGTGTTGATATGATTCCAAGTAGAGAGAATTTTTTATTGCAAGAGAATGCAATAAGTAGAATATCAAGATTTTCAAATTACTGGAATAACCTTTGCACTTATCTACATTCCAGTTATATTAAAAAAAGTGTTTGTAACCACGATATGGTCATAATTCTGACCTGAAACAATTACAAAGCTAAATAAAAAAGTCACCCCTTTTTTTTGCTCACACCTTCTTTTATTATTTAGAAAAATCGCAGCACCACTTCACTGGATGTAAAGGAACTAAAGCTATAATTGAAACCCATTCACTTTTAACAACGTTTTCCTGTTGCGTTGTAAAATGTGTAACATGAAAACAATATATATGATAGCGTCTATATTTTATATAAGAAAAACATCAGCCCTTTTGATTCTATCCCTTAGACCCAGACTGTTTGCCGAAAACAGTTATGTTACTCACGTTAAATCATCGATAGAAAAAGAAAATGTAAACCCTGAATTTTTCAGCAAGAGTATAAAAACTTATCCTTAGGTGAAATAAAATACGACTACCGCTCACCAAAACAAAAACAACACTCAGCGTACTCCTACATTTCTGACCGGAAGTTACCATAATAAAAATAATGGAAAAATCGACGTCTTACCAACGTTAAAAAGCGTATTTGAAGAATAAGGAGCGTCCAAGTGAGCAAGATCAGATAGAGTATTCATCTAAAGGTCGAATCCGGCCACGATCACATATACGGATTGAAAAATAAAACGAATAGAGAAAAAAGATGATATATAATATTATTTGAACTAAATAAAGAGGAGAGTTAAATAGATAGAGAAAGGGAGATAAATTCAACTCTTAGATCTACATATTAAACGTAATTATATACATGACAACACAAAACAAAAAACAAAACAATAAAAAAACAAAAACAAAAAAAAAAAAAAAAAAAAACAAAACAACAAAAAAAAAAAAAAAAAAAAAAAAAAAAAAAAAAAAAAAAAAACAAAAAAAAAACAATCTTGCATTGTTTGTGAATTTTACGATCACGCTTTATTTCCTGTTGTTTGGATGTAGTTGACACAAGTCATGAAGCCAAAGTACGATGACACTGATTGTAAAGCTGCATTATTACCTATCAACAAGACGAAGAATAAGACCTTATCAGTCCTAGCAGGTACGTTACTAATAATATTAATACCATTATCAACATGAAATTGTGCAAATATGCAGGTACCAAATACATTTCCTAGCATAATGTATTTCACGTTACATAAGCATTTAAAACAGCTCTATTACCCGCCCTTTTGTTCGAACTATCGCAGCGACGGTTTGTGTAATATTGAAACTATTTTATTTTCTCCTTTGTCTAGTGGATAAGTTCAGGGCGTATCTCCTATCACAGGCTAGTAACAGGACAGACTACATTAATGCTGTAGAGGTACCAGTAAGTAATATTCTATTATCTATATATTGTATAGCCTGCCATTTGTACATAAATATGTATCATTTGGACAAAGCGTGGACACTTATCAGGAAGATATGATTTTCTTCTTAATCTGTTGTGTATCTGTGACAATGTGATCATTGAAACGACATAATTGTAGAGAGTATAATTGTGACGATATGATACATTTTGTCTAATTCATCGACATCCGACGGCAATATGTGTAGGGAAGGTAACACATGAATTAATAAGAGCATGATGGAAACAAAGAATCATATCAGTTCTAAATGTCTTTTTCTTTTACCATATTTCATAACGACCAAAAATGTACTATACTTTACTATGATTGTGTGCTAAGGACAAAGTAGGGTTATTGAATTTTTAAATTTTAGGTGCAAATATAATCATCATACAAATGTTCTTAGTTCAATCAATGCAAACAACCAGAAGGCCCCAATGTGGGCAAAAGTAATCAATCAAAGCAACAGAAAAAAAAATCGGCAATTGTTTTCAATTCGGAAGTTTGCGACTTTACAATGTTCCAAAGATGATCATGTCAAAGAAAAGTTCGAAATAATGTTAATATTCTAATTTTCTCCAGTCCTACACGTCCAAAACTGGGTATATCGTCACCCAGACTCCTATGGAAGACACCGTGGTAGATCTACTGACAATGATAATGGACCATGACTGTACCACTATTGTCATCATAGATACTGACACAATTGTAAGTATACAGAAACATACTTGTGAACACTATGTTAAGTATACAGAAACGTATTTGTGTACACTATTGTAAGTATACAGAAACATACTTGTGTACACTATTGTAAGTATACAGAAACATACCTGCGTACACTATGGTAAGTATGCAGAAACGTATTTGTGTACACTATTGTAAGTATACAGAAACGTACCTGCGTACACTATGGTAAGTATACAGAAACGTATTTGTGTACACTATTGTAAGTATACAGAAACGTACTTGTATACACCATGGTAAGTATACAAAAACATACTTGTGTACACTGGTAAGTATACATAAACGTACTTGTATACACCATGGTGAGCATACAGAAACATACTTGTGTACACTGGTAAGTCTACAGAAACGTACTTGTATACACCATGGTGAGCATACAGAAACATGCTTGTGTACACTATGTTAAGTATACAGAAACATACTTGTGTACACTATTGTAAGTATACAGAAACGTATTTGTGTACACTATGGTAAGTATACAGAAACATATTTGTGTACACTATTGTAAGTATACAGAAACGTATTTATGTACACTGTGGTAAGTATACAGAAACGTATTTGTGTACACTATGGAAAGTATACAGAAACGTATTTGTGTACACTATTGTAAGTATACAGAAACGTACTTGTATACACCATGGTGAGCATACAAAAACATACTTGTGTACACTGGTAAGTCTACAGAAACGTACTTGTATACACCATGGTGAGCATACAGAAACATACTTGTGTACACTATGTTAAGTATACAGAAACATACTTGTGTACACTATGGAAAGTATACAGAAACGTATTTGTGTACACTATTGTAAGTATACAGAAACGTACTTGTATACACCATGGTGAGCATACAAAAACATACTTGTGTGCACTGGTAAGTCTACAGAAACGTACTTGTATACACCATGGTGAGCATACAGAAACATACTTGTGTACACTATGTTAAGTATACAGAAACATACTTGTGTACACTATTGTAAGTATACAGAAGCATACTTGTGTATAGATCATTGAAAATCTAATGTGTAACATATCAACGTGCAGTTATCCAAGTTGAGGGCAAACTTTATTTGGTAGTCAAATTCCATCTTGTGTAATTATTTATACTTGAAAGTATAGATCAATTTCGTTATCAACTTTATAACTAATTTTCATGTATGTCTTAATGTTACTACCTGTAACTAAAAGAGTTACGTATTAAGTGTCAAAAATCTGGGTTTTTTCCCAACAATATCATAAGATAAAAGACTAAAGTAAAATAAACAGAAACGTATCCGTATATACGGATAGTATTTTCAAACCTCAGTTTTTTAGTCAATGTTGAAATTCCATACAGACATAATTTTATTCTCTATCTAGGACTGGCTTCCAGAGCAGGGTGAAGGTAAAGTCATTGGTGATTATCAACTAGAGAACAAGGGAAAATCGTCAACGATATCAAATACTGATATGCTTGAAATAACAATCACGGATCAGGTAAAATGTTCTACATTACAAAGAACTATAGGGTAGTAATAATATAGGGTTACGTACAGTAGAGCTAAACAATCTAAAAGTTTGTGCAAGAGACACGCAAGTGAATAGCACCTTTTAATAACATAGAGCTAGATACAGTAGAGCCAAATAACGAATTACTGCACCACACAGCTGTTTCGTCATTCTATGCTGTCAGTAATGCCAAAAGAAATCGTTTCATAAAAGATGAACACATCTAGTGCATTTTATACTGGAATCACATTTCAATATAACTTTTCGTATTATGGTACACAAGTAATGAATAAATAAAATTTGGTACTGATTTTAGAGCAGTGAATTAAGCACTAATATTCGAGTGTTTCACCTATCCGGGTGGAATCAAGAGTCACCAGTCCCTCAGGATTCGTCAACCTTACTGCAGCTACTTGAACTTGTAGACAGTAGACGTAAATCGGATGATACTAAGACGACAGTTGTCATGTGTCGGTACGTTATATTATAATTTCGTTTTACTATAAGATCAACAATTATGATTAGATAGTTGAGAAAGTGTTTGTACATTTGTGTAAGTTCTATTGCATATATCAATGTTTTTAGTGTCATGAATGTCAAAAAACGTTTGCATGAACAGGTTTTGTCTTGAGAAAAATGAAAGTGTCAATTTCATGGTAACTTTTATTAAGTTTAAGGTTCCAAGTTAGAAAAAAGTCTTCATATATTGAAAATATCAATGATATACTTGTTTCCTTAACATTTTAGAGATGGGTATACACAGAGCGGTCTGTTCTGCTGTATCAGCAGTGCTAGAGACCAAATGAAGATTGATGACGAGGTGGATATATTTCAGATTTCTCGTCAGCTGCTAACTAGACGTCCAGAATTTATTATCAGCTTCGTAAGTAGAATAATTCTGAGTTAAAATATGCAGTACTGCAGAGTGTATTATACACTGTTATATGATAACTTTCCCATTTCTACACTTATCTTTGATACCATGATGAAGACCATTATATAACCGCTAAAAATCAATTAATAGTTCCCTGGTCCCTTCGACAAATACATGAAGATTGTATGTCAAACCACGCTTTTCATAATAAATTGATATTAATGCAAAAATTGCTAACGATAGTTTTGTTCAGACCAATGACCGTTTTAATATTGATATTGATATAGCGATAAAACTAATTATGTGGCCTGTTCCATTTTTGTATCTATTGAGGAAGTTTTTGCCTGCAAAGATGAAATAGTTACTAATGAACAAAATTTATTACATCGTAGGAACAGTACCACTGCTGCTACAACGTCATTAGGGATTACCTTGATGCCACAGATGTGTACATGAACTGACACTATAGAACCGACACCAGAGTTATTTAATGGGCATCATCTGGATATCAAAGTCGTGTATATAACTGACATTACAGAACTAGGACCAGTGTTACATAACAAACATCACTTGGATATCACAGACGTTTATATAAGTGACACTACAGCACTAGTACCAGTGTTAAATAACATTACCATGGGGTGTGTAAATGTATTATTCAAAATGTTAATTATATGTAATATATCCGAGGGTACCTTAAAACTGAAGTATATTTTAACTTATTTTAAATGTATTAAACAACCATTACCTCAACACCACAGGAGGCGTTTATCTGACCGAAAAACACACGTGTATGTAAGAAACAGCATTGTATGTATTTACTCAACTTATACGAAGTTAACTATTTTCTAAGCTGGTAAGAGCTTAATTTAAATTGATATAGCTATTTGTATATCGTGCGGGTTAAGCTACCCTAGAAAAGGACTTTGGTATCGCCCAGAAATGTTCATCATCCTGCCATTGATAGTTCCTTATCAAATTTTGCGATGTCGTTTGAACAATTTTTGTTCATTCTTCAAAATAACTTTCATTGCTCTGCTTTGACATGAATACCAGCCGGAGATTTGTTCTTGTAAGTTAGATAATTTGAAATTCGTATAACCTTGAACCATGAATTCAAGGTTTTCATGGTTTGGTAGTCTTAATGTATGTCAGACTCACAACGATATACATAAAGATACACTATGGTATTGCCAAGCCTTAATTCATGTTACTGATTATGACACCTGTCTGAAAGAACGCATCCGCTTCTTTCGTAAGTACTCACCGAATACGTTCTTAAAGGTAGCATGCTATCACAGATGTAATAGAGAGACAGAAAGAGATAGTCCTAATGTCCACTAATAAATCAATACTGCAAAACCATATAAACGAAACGTTTGTGTGTTGTTTTTTATAATTGTTATTCACGTAACACATGTAAATTTTGGTTATTCAAAGTACGTAATGTCACGTTCTCAAACGTGAACAAGACATACAAACAAGGAACCAACTGGAATACGAACGAACATCAAACACGTGATTCTTTATCGGTCACGTTTATCTTGTTTTAATTAAATTAAATAAATTAATAAATTTAATTAACGAATAAATACAATGCCAAAACGTGTCGTTGGTTAATGCTTGTGTTCATATCAGATGTTTGGTATATTTATATGGGTGTCTGAGGCTCGCAAAATAAATATAAAGAGTCGTCAAGTAATTCAGAAAAGTTTCCTTACTGAAGATTTTAAAGTAAACAATGTGGAGAAGAAAATTTAAAAAGAGGACGCAGTGTTGTTGCACAGTTTTCAGTTCATCACGTGATGTCATTATCTTTATTATGATATCACATGTCTGAATGGCGATGAAAAATATCAGGCTATATCAAACTTGTGATATATACGCAAAAATATAACATAGGTGAGTTTACTGGATAACAGATATATTGTGTGATATACATATATATATATATTATCTGGTCTCCTGTTGTGTTACGAAAGCGGAAAAATATATAAAGGATGGACAGAGAGTTTTATAATTGTCTCTTTTCTTTGTTCTAACATGTTTATTAATTTTTGTGCAAATTGGACATGTCATTTATATCAGAAACACAAGTCATTCCAACTAAGTGATGTCGCGTGGTCATATGAGAAACAGTTGTATTCGATTTCCAACAAAAAACCACCAATGAATTCTTCCGGTTTTATCTCCACGTGAACAGACAATGGTTCCGACTATCGCCGATCTTGTGATAGTTTCCTTTTCGGTAGGTCCATAACGACGAATCTTGCAAGGTTTTGTAATGGCTGCAATTTTCAAAATGGACTTAAAACTATGCTAATTGAAAATATAGGTCGATATGTTTATTATCAACCGTCAATGGATTTGAAGCTTAGCCAGGTTAAAATTATAACATCTGTCCATCGATGTCAACCGTACTATGGAGATTAAAGTTAAAGTATTACCGTGTTAATGGCCCTCGTACTACGAGAATGAATGCTTTTCGTGTTATCGTGTTAATGTTCCACGTACTACGGGGGTGATTGTACCTCGTGTTACCGTGTTAATGACCCTCGTACTAGGGGGTGATTGTACCTCGTGTTACCCTGTTTATGTCCCTCGTACTACAGGGGTGATTGTACCTCGTGTTACCGTGTTAATGTCCCTCGTACTACGGGGGTGATTGTACCTCGTGTTACCGTGTTAATGTCCCCCGTACTACGGGGGTTAATGTTCCTCGTGTTACCCTGTTTATGCCCCTCCATCTACGGGGGTGATTGTACCTCGTGTTACCGTGTTTAAGTCCCTCGTACAACGGGGGTGATTGTACCTCGTGTTACCGTGTTTATGTCCCTCGTTCTACGGGGGTGATTGTACCTTGTGTTACCGTGTTTATGTACCTCGTTCTACGGGGGTGATTGTACCTTGTGTTACCGTGTTTATGTACCTCGTATTCCGGTGGTGATTGTACCTCGTGTTACCCTGTTTATGTCCCTCGTTCTACGGGGGTGATTGTACTTTGTGTTACAGTGTAATGACCCTCGTACTACGAGAGTGAATGTTCCTCGTGTTACCGTGTTAATGACCCTCGAACTTCGAGAGTGAATGTTTCTCATGTTACCGTGTTAATGTCCCTCATACTAGGGGGTAAATGTTCCTCGTGTTACCGTGTTAACGACCCTCGTACTACGGGGGTGATTGTATCACGTGTTACCGTGTTAATGTCCCTCATACTAGGGGGTAAATGTTCCTCGTGTTACCGTGTTAACGACCCTCGTACTACGGGGGTGATTGTATCACGTGTTACCGTGTTAATGGCCCTCGTAATACTTTGGTTAATGTTTCTCGTGTTACCGTGTTAATGACCCCCGTACTTCGAGAGTGAATGTTTCTCATGTTACCGTGTTAATGTCCCTCATACTAGGGGGTTAATGTTCCTCGTGTTACCGTGTTAACGACCCTGGTACTGCGGGGGTGATTGTTCCTCCTGTTACCGTGTTAATGACCCTCGTACTTCGAGAGTGAATGTTTCTCATGTTACCGTGTTAATGACCCTGGTACTACGGGGATGATTGTATCACGTGTTAGTGTGTTAATGTCCCTCATACTACGGGGGTTAATGTTCCTCGTTGTACCGTGTAAATGACCCTCGTACTATGAGAGTGAATGTTCCTCGTGTTACCGTGTTAATGACACTCGTACTTCGAGAGTGAATGTTTCTCATGTTACCGTGTTAATGTCCCTCATACTAGGAGGTTATTGTTCCTCGTGTTACCGTGTTAATGACCCTCGTACTACGGGGGTGATTGTATCACGTGTTACCGTGTTAATGTCCCTCATACTACGGGGGTTCATGTTCCTCGTTGTACCGTGTAATTGACCCTCGTACTACGAGAGTGAATGTTCCTCGTGTTACCGTGTTAATGGCCCTCGTACTACTTGGGTTAATGTTTCTCATGTTACCGTGTTAATGACCCTCGTACTTCGAGAGTGAATGTTTCTCATGTTACCGTGTTAATGTCCCTCATACTAGGGGGTTAATGTTCCTCGTGTTACCGTGTTAATGACCCTCGTACTACGGGGGTGATTGTATCACGTGTTACCGTGTTAATGTCCCTCATACTACGGGGGTTAATGTTCCGCGTTGTACCGTGTAGATGACCCTCGTACTACGAGAGTGAATGTTCCTCGTGTTACCGTGTTAATGACCATCGTACTTCGAGAGTGAATGTTTCTCATGTTACCGTGTTAATGTCCCTCATACTACGGGGGTTAATGTTCCTCATGTTACCGTGTTAATGTCCCTCATACTACGGGGGTTAATGTTCCGCGTTGTACCGTGTAGATGACCCTCGTACTACGAGAGTGAATGTTCCTCGTGTTACCGTGTTAATGACCCTCGTACTACGGGGGTGATTGTATCACGTGTTACCGTGTTATTGTCCCTCATACTACGGGGGTTAATGTTCCTCGTTGTACCGTGTAAATGACCCTCGTACTTCGAGAGTGAATGTTCCTCGTGTTACCATGTTAATGACCCTCGTACTTCCAGAGTGAATGTTTCTCATGTTAACGTGTTTATGTCCTTCATACTAGGGGGTTTATGTTCTTCGTGTTACCGTGTAAATGACCCTCGTACTACGAGAGTGAATGTTCCTCGTGTTACCGTGTTAATGACCCTCGTACTTCGAAAGTGAATGTTTCTCATGTTACCGTGATAATGTCCCTTATACTAGGGGGTTAATGTTTCCCGTGTTACCGTATTAATGTCACTCGTACTACGGGGGTTAATGATTCTCGTGTTACCGTGTTAATGACCCTCGTACTTCGAGAGTGAATGTTTCTCATGTTACCGTGTTAATGTTCCTCATACTACGGGGTTAATGTTCCTCGTGTTACCGTGTTAATGACCCTCGTACTACGGGGATAATTGAATCACGTGTTACCGTGTTAATGTCCCTTATACTACGGGGGTTAATGTTCCTCGTTGTACCGTGTAGATGACCCTCGTACTACGAGAGTGAATGTTCCTCGTGTTACCGTGTTAATGACCCTCGTACTACGGGAGTGAATGTTTCTCATGTTACCGAGTTAATGTTCCACATACTAGGGGGTTAATGTTCCTCGTGTTACCGTGTTGACGACCCTCGTACTACGGGGGTGATTATTCCTCGTGTTACCGTGTTAATGACCCTCGTACTTCGAGAGTGAATGTTTCTCATGTTACTGTGATAATGTCCCTCATACTACGGGGTTAATGTTCCTCGTGTTACCGTGTTAACGACCCTCGTACTAAGGGGGTTAATGTTCCTCGTTGTACTGTGTAAATGACCCTCGTACTACGAGAGTGAATGTTCCTCGTGTTACCGTGTTAATGACCCTCGTACTTCCAGATTGAATGTTTCTCATGTTACCGTGTTAATGTCCCTCATACTAGGGGGTAAATGTTCCTCGTGTTACCGTGTTAATGACCCTCGTACTACGGGGGTGATTGTATCACGTGTTACTGTGTTAATGTCCCTTATACTACGGGGGTTAATGTTCCGCGTTGTACCGTGTAAATGACCCTCGTACTACGAGAGTGAATGTTCCTCGTGTTACCGTGTTAATGGCCCTCGTACTACTTGGGTTAATGTTTCTCATGTTACCGTGTTAATGACCCTCGTACTTCGAGAGTGAATGTTTCTCATGTTACTGTGTTAATGTCCCTCATACTACGGGGGTTAATGTTCCTCATGTTACCGTGTTAATGTCCCTCATACTACGGGGGTTAATGTTCCGCGTTGTACCGTGTAGATGACCCTCGTACTACGAGAGTGAATGTTCCTCGTGTTACCGTGTTAATGACCCTCGTACTACGGGGGTGATTGTATCACGTGTTACCGTGTTATTGTCCCTCATACTACGGGGGTTAATGTTCCTCGTTGTACCGTGTAAATGACCCTCGTACTACGAGAGTGAATGTTCCTCGTGTTACCATGTTAATGACCCTCGTACTTCCAGAGTGAATGTTTCTCATGTTAACGTGTTTATGTCCTTCATACTAGGGGGTTTATGTTCTTCGTGTTACCGTGTAAATGACCCTCGTACTACGAGAGTGAATGTTCCTCGTGTTACCGTGTTAATGACCCTCGTACTTCGAAAGTGAATGTTTCTCATGTTACCGTGATAATGTCCCTTATACTAGGGGGTTAATGTTTCCCGTGTTACCGTATTAATGTCACTCGTACTACGGGGGTTAATGATTCTCGTGTTACCGTGTTAATGACCCTCGTACTTCGAGAGTGAATGTTTCTCATGTTACCGTGTTAATGTTCCTCATACTACGGGGTTAATGTTCCTCGTGTTACCGTGTTAATGACCCTCGTACTACGGGGATAATTGAATCACGTGTTACCGTGTTAATGTCCCTTATACTACGGGGGTTAATGTTCCTCGTTGTACCGTGTAGATGACCCTCGTACTACGAGAGTGAATGTTCCTCGTGTTACCGTGTTAATGACCCTCGTACTACGAGAGTGAATGTTTCTCATGTTACCGAGTTAATGTTCCACATACTAGGGGGTTAATGTTCCTCGTGTTACCGTGTTGACGACCCTCGTACTACGGGGGTTATTATTCCTCGTGTTACCGTGTTAATGACCCTCGTACTTCGAGAGTGAATGTTTCTCATGTTACTGTGTAAATGACCCTCGTACTACGAGAGTGAATGTTCCTCGTGTTACCGTGTTAATGACCCTCGTACTTCCAGATTGAATGTTTCTCATGTTACCGTGTTAATGTCCCTCATACTAGGGGGTAAATGTTCCTCGTGTTACCGTGTTAATGACCCTCGTACTACGGGGGTGATTGTATCACGTGTTACCGTGTTATTGTCCCTCATACTACGGGGGTTAATGTTCCTCGTTGTACCGTGTAAATGACCCTCGTACTACGAGAGTGAATGTTCCTCGTGTTACCGTGTTAATGACCCTCGTACTTCCAGATTGAATGTTTCTCATGTTAACGTGTTTATGTCCTTCATACTAGGGGGTTTATGTTCTTCGTGTTACCGTGTTAATGACCCTCGTACTACGGGTGAATGTTCCTCGTGTTACCGTGTTAATGACCCTCGTACTTCGAAAGTGAATGTTTCTCATGTTACCGTGATAATGTCCCTTATACTAGGGGGTTAATGTTTCCCGTGTTACCGTATTAATGTCACTCGTACTACGGGGGTGATTGTATCACGTGTTACCGTGTTAATGTCCCTTATACTACGGGGGTTAATGTTCCGGGTTGTACCGTGTAAATGACCCTCGTACTACGAGAGTGAATGTTCCTCGTGTTACCGTGTTAATGACCCTCGTACTTCGAGAGTGAATGTTTCTCATGTTACCGTGTTAATGTCCTTCATACTAGGGGGTTAATGTTCCTCGTGTTACCGTGTTAAAAACCCTCGTTCTACGGGGGTGATTGTATCTCGGTTGACCGTGTTGATGTCCCTCGTACTACGGGGGTTAATGTTCCGGGTTGTACCGTGTAAATGACCCTCGTACTACGAGAGTGAATGTTCCTCGTGTTACCGTGTTAATGACCCTCGTACTTCGAGAGTGAATGTTTCTCATGTTACCGTGTTAATGTCCCTCATACTAGGGGGTTAATGTTCCTCGTGTTACCGTGTTTATGACCCTCGTACTTCGAGAGTGAATGTTTCTCATGTTACCGAGTTAATGTTCCACATACTAGGGGGTGAATGTTCCTCGTGTTACCGTGTTGACGACCCTCGTACTACGGGGGTGATTATTCCTCGTGTTACCGTGTTAATGACCCTCGTACTTCGAGAGTGAATGTTTCTCATGTTACTGTGATAATGTCCCTCATACTACGGGGTTAATGTTCCTCGTGTTACCGTGTTAACGACCCTCGTACTAAGGGGGTTTATGTTCCTCGTTGTACTGTGTAAATGACCCTCGTACTACGAGAGTGAATGTTCCTCGTGTTACCGTGTTAATGACCCTCGTACTTCCAGATTGAATGTTTCTCATGTTACCGTGTTAATGTCCCTCATACTAGGGGGTAAATGTTCCTCGTGTTACCGTGTTAACGACCCTCGTACTACGGGGGTGATTGTATCACGTGTTACCGTGTTAATGTCCCTCATACTAGGGGGTTAATGTTTCTCGTTGTACCTTGTTAATGACCCCCGTACTTCGAGAGTGAATGTTTCTCATGTTACCGTGTTAATGTCCCTCATACTAGGGGGTTAATGTTCCTCGTGTTACCGTGTTAACGACCCTCGTACTGCGGGTGTGATTGTTCCTCGTGTTACCGTGTTAATGACCCTCGTACTTCGAGAGTGAATGTTTCTCATGTTACCGTGTTAATGTCCCTCATACTACGGGGTTATTGTTCCTCGTGTTACCGTGTTAATGACCCTGGTACTACGGGGATGATTGTATCACGTGTTAGTTTGTTAATGTCCCTCATACTACGGGGGTTAATGTTCCTCGTTGTACCGTGTAAATGACCCTCGTATTATGAGAGTGAATGTTCCTCGTGTTACCGTGTTAATGACACTCGTACCTCGAGAGTGAATGTTTCTCATGTTACCGTGTTAATGTCCCTCATACTAGGGGGTTAATGTTCCTCGTGTTACCGTGTTAATGACCCTCGTACTACGGGGGTGATTGTATCACGTGTTACCGTGTTAATGTCCCTTATACTACGGGGGTTAATGTTCCGCGTTGTACCGTGTAAATGACCCTCGTACTACGAGAGTGAATGTTCCTCGTCTTACCGTGTTAATGGCCCTCGTACTACTTGGGTTAATGTTTCTCATGTTACCGTGTTAATGACCCTCGTACTTCGAGAGTGAATGTTTCTCATGTTACCGTGTTAATGTCCCTCATACTAGGGGGTTAATGTTCCTCGTGTTACCGTGTTAATGACCCTCGTACTACGGGAGTGATTGTACCTTGTGTTACCGTGTTAATGTCCCTCATACTAGGGGGTTAATGTTCCTCGTTGTACCGTGTTAATGACCCTCGTACTTCGAGAGTGAATGCTTCTCATGTTACCGTGTTAATGTCCCTCATACTAGGGGATTAATGTTTCTCGTGTTACCGTGTTAATGACCCTCGTACTACGGGAGTGATTGTACCTTGTGTTACCGTGTTAATGTCCCTCATACTATCGAAAAAAGGTTAATGATAAATCCATGTAAGTAATGCCGTTAAGTTTAGTGATCTCGTTAATGCGACTAAATTTATCTCGTTATTACGATAACGCCTCAACGTATTGATAGTGTTCAAAGACTAAACTTCGAGAGTGAATGTTTCTCATGTTACCGTGTTAATGACCCTCATACTAGGGGGTTAATGTTCCTCGTGTTACCGTGTTAACGACCCTGGTACTACGGGGGTGATTGTTCCTCGTGTTACCGTGTTAATGACCCTCGTACTTCGAGAGTGAATGTTTCTCAAGTTACCGTGTTAATGACCCTCGTACTTCGAGAGTGAATGTTTCTCATGTTACCGTGTTAATGTCCCTCATACTACGGGGTTAATGTTCCTCGTGTTACCGTGTTAATGACCCTCGTACTACGGGGAGGATTGTTTCACGTGTTACTGTGTTAACGTCCCTCATACTACGGAGGTTAATGTTCCTCGTGTTACCGTGTTAATGACCCTCGTACTTCGAGATTGAATGTTTTTCATGTTACCGTGTTAATGTCCCTCATACTAGGGGGTTAATGTTCCTCGTGTTACCGTGTTAATGACCCTCGTACTACGGGGATGGTTGTATCACGTGTTACCGTGTTAATGTCCCTCATACTATGGGGTTAATGTTCCTCGTGTTATCGTGTTAATGACCCTCGTACTTCGAGAGTGAATGTTTCTCATGTTACCGTGTTAATGTCCCTCATACTAGGGGGTTAATGTTCCTCGTGTTACCGTGTTAATGGCCCTCGTACTACTTGGGTTATTGTTTCTCGTGTTACCGTGTTAATGACCCTCGTCTTTCGAGAGTGAATGTTTCTCATGTTACCGTGTTAATGTCCCTCATACTAGGGGGTTAATGTTCCTCGTGTTACCGTGTTAACGACCCTGGTACTACGGGGGTGATTGTACCTCGGTTTACCGTGTTTATGTCCCTCGTTCTACGGGGGTGATTGTATCACGTGTTACCGTGTTAATGTCCCTCGTACTACGGGGGTGATTGTATCACGTGTTACCGTGTTAACGACCCACGTACTACGGAGGTTATTGTACCTCGGTTTACCGTGTTTATGTCCCTCGTACTACGGGGGTGATTCTACCTCGGTTTACCGTGTTGATGTCCCTCGTACTACGGGGGTGATTTTACCTCGTGTTATGGTGTTTACGTCGCTCTTACTACGGGAGGATTGGGTGGGTGTGGCGGTTTGTTGTTCCTCGTACTACCGTTTGAATGTGTCTTTCAATATCGTGTTTATCATTAAAATTGACGAATTGACCTTAGCGAATATTAAGGGAGCTGATTAGTACTACATACGAAGTTATAATGATCTCATTATTACGACTTTTGTTATTTGGCTATTACGACCTATGTTATCTCGTTGTTATGAGGGCATCAAGAAAATACCAACGTGTAAAATAATCAGAATCCAAACTCAACATAAAACTAGTGCAAACTATGAATAATAGAAATATTTACATGGAAAATCCTGAAAAAAGTACAAGGAAAATAAGACTGCTTCATCGACGCACCCGCCCTCTGAATCTTGATAAATCCATGTAAGTAATGCCGAGTTAAGTTTAGTGATCTCGTTAATGCGACTAAATTTATCTCGTTATTACGATAACGCCTCAACGTATTGATAGTGTTCAAAGACTAAACTTCCTTTTCATGTCTTGTTTGGAAAGGAACATGATCTTTTACTATCAGAGCTGGATGTGGTTTTATTTGAACAAATAAGACTGTGATTTAAAAATCCCAATTGTTTACATTTTTACTTTCATCATTTCTATGTAAGTCTTATATTTTCCACGGACTAAATTTATGAAAAATTAAAAAAAAAGGTCCATAAAAATAATATAGTCATCAATTATACTGTAACATAGCATACAACGACGTAAACTGATGTGTGTATATGTATTTGTTGATGTTGATACCCGTGCACAGTTTGTAACGCACACCGACTGTTTAAAGGTGAACACAGGTATTTATAGGTATTATAGCCATTTAGTGGATCTCACTCTACCAGAACAGGTCACGTACCAGACTTTATACACACTTCACATATGTATAAAAATAATCCACGACACTGTGCATTCTACTTCCTTGTTGCTGAACATTCGCCATTAGGCACAGAAATGGCGACAAGAGAAGTAATAAACAGAGGCGTATATCTGGTCTTGTTCCTGATGTTCAACACCTGCAGACCAGAAGGTAAGTAATTAACGTATGTACTATAAGTAAGAAAACAAAAACATTAAACATAAACACATAGACAGAATAAATATCTCACCGTATACAACGTACTTCCTGATTACAAAATATCATTTTGGGTTTTCGGTCTACAGTCTTGGGGATGCTATAGTATAGAAGCATTTCATGGCACAGAGGCATATGTTTTTTCCTTGAATTTACCAGTGGTCGGTTTTAAAAACTTAACTAAACCGAAAAATGCATTAATGCGAAAACGTGAACCATGAGATCATTGTATTTCATTTTAATGTTAGCTGTGTCTTGGTTTACATTGTGATAATATTTTCAATTGGTCAATATATACATGACTTTATGTTTTCACAGTACGATATAACACAGCAGCTCGTGTATATCGTGGACAACCAAATTTTGAGAGGTTCAGCATCTAATCAAATCAGCGATTGAACCTCTTAAAGTTGTTTATTCTGTTGATATGGAATGTAATATGGCTGTATTTATCACGGGGATTTTAAAAATGTTTCCTTTACGAGCCGATCAAGTCATCATTTATAGACAAGAGTCGAGTGATTTATTTCCATGCGTTCTCCAGAAAGTGTACACGTCAAGAAGTTTTTACATGTTGTTTAGTCGTTTGGATACTTGTATATTTGTTCAAGCTAAATGATACATTCTGTGAGCATTTGTGCACGGCATTCATTTTTCTGTAGTGCAAGTATTTTAAATCTTATTGAATTAGTAGGATTAACAATTGTTCTTCTGGTGTCATAATGATTATCTAGACTACACCAGGCATATATTTGTTATGTGACAAATTAAAGAAGACATACATTCAGGATATACCACGATAAACCATGCGTTTTCACATGATATTAATTGACATCTGTTCATTTAAGCACATATACGGTTTTAACTGTTGTGTTCTAAGTCTGATAAAATCGCTCCTTAAATTGCAGTATCAGTTTACCATTGTCATGATGAATTACAAGCCCTACTTGATCACCTATATTTATTGTGTTGAATTACAGGTAATATAGCTGCTTTAAAGTCTGCCAAGCAAAGCAGCAACCAACTTACGGGAAAATGGCTAGCAGGAGCGGCAGTGGATACTTGCACAAATACAGATATAGCCTCTGATTGTTGTACACACACGTCTGTAGCGGGGGATCCTGAAACCGTTTGGTGGCGTGTAGATCTAGGACAGATGAGCACCATTGACACAATACAAATAATTTACAGAGGTAAGTTTACGTAACATTAAGTATAATATTGATAAACTGTGATATCAGCGATGTTCGAAAAAGGGTTGGGATGGAATGGGTCCCTGGTAAGATAGGTAATAATTTATGTTCTGATTTGGAAATAAAATACATCACATAATAAGTGCATCACGATGTCATTGCTTCAACAAACCAATCGACAAAATTTGTTATTAAAAAATCGCATTAGGAATTTCAAGATATAAGACTCTTTAAAAATTGTCTCTGTACCAAACTGCAAAGCAAAATAAAAAAAAAAAGGTTTATTTCCTTCTGAAAGGTAAGGAATGCTCTCCACATTGACAGCTTTTCCATTTCTCAGGTGAATGAGCCAATTGATTGAGTTGTCGATGAGGAAATTCGCTGTAATTACTTTAAATACTTTGACCTCCATTTAGGCTTGGGATTATGTTAAGTTTTTTTTAACAATGTACACCTACATGTGGTCTGCAAAAATACATTCTTTCGAATTGTTATTTTTTCCTGTCTGCTGTTCAGAATGAATATTTTTGCACACGTTATCAGCTTGACATTTTGGATTAAAAACTATAGTTATGTTGTTATGACAAACCCCTACCGATGAAACTAGAATGTAAGAAATACAGTATCACTGTTAAATTTTTAATATCAATACACCTGATTATTGAAATATGCTACAAATATTTCATTTATACTTTCTATGTAAAGGATTATCAAGACAACAAAGAAAGTAATGTCTTGCCAACAGACTTAATCTAAAATGAAATTCGATATAACGGAGGCAAATACGAATACATGAGAGGCTAACACGGAGACCGTCGCAAAAATACAAAGAGAATACGTTCAGATGTTCGGTGATGGTAAGCTTCTTCTGTTTCGCCGTCGACATCTAACATGTATATCTTGGACAATTCGAGTCAGTTAATAGAACTCTGTAATCAACAACGAGACATACAAACGAGAATCAAAAACTCCAATGTAATACAAAAAATAGAATATTGTTCAATGGTATCAATATGCCGACCAATAAACTCAATCATCAACATACTTCTCCAAAAACATCTAAGAGAACATTTAAATTTGATGCTGTCACACTGTACACCACCATGGTCCATTCTAAAGTAAAACAATTCCTTCGTTCTCTTGTTATGAGGGCTTTCTTTTCCAAAAAAGGGCGAGGGGCGGTATACGTGTATCGCTGTAGGCTATATTTAAATGTATTTCATGAACAATACCCCAAAATAAAATGAAAATAAAATAAAAAAAAAAACAACATCAACAGAAATGATCGAGTTTCCGGGAGAAACAATCGTCGGGAAGTTTAGAGTGATTATCTTTAAACAGAGTATTACCATACCTATGTTGAGGAGTAACTGTGACTCTCTGTTGCCTGACTTGCTTTGGTTTTCATATGAGGCTAAATTTATCGAAAGGCTAATTAAAACAGGCAAAATAAGGCATTGCAAGGTCTTTAGGATTTACGTTCAGACATATTGATGAGGTCTTGTCTTTAAATAACAAGATATTTATTAACCACTTCTATCTGGTATACTCAACACAATTGAAGATGAAGAACCGACAGGCTCTCTTACATTAACCGCTTATCGAGTATCCTGTAAGATAATAGTAATGATTTCAATTTTGCCATTGTGATTTCTCTATATCTAGATAGCAAGATTCATATATCCCCAACCTATGGGATGTACATGGTAGTTTACTCGATACTCAAAGCTCTTTTCTCAGTTTCACGGTGTTTGTGCAGAACGATAAATGACAAACTTATAATAAAGGTTTTTAAAAGATGCAGGTTGATGGAAAATAGGGGAAAGTCTTACGGTCACCATTGATCTCTTTTCGATACCAAGCTGGACATGTTTGACAGTCGCTAGCTTTCCAGTTGGTTCTGTTGTTGAACGTTTAGTTCCCATTTGAGTGCTTGATACGAGAGGAGTCATCGATTAAGCAGAAGACGCTTACTCTTTCTGAACACATGGTATCATTCTCCACGTGCTTTTTTCAGGAGTCTCTCTAAATCTTCTATGAATTAACATTATGCACTAGTTTTATTGAATTTGATTTTGGATTAGAATTATGTTCATATGTTTATATTTTCTTGTTTACCAGTACCCGACCTTCTTAAGATCAATGAATCGAAGAAAGGAATTTTCTTTCTGTCCCCTCTTCAATTGTAAAATTTATGGTGTATTAACCTGGTTTTGGTGAGATGTAAGGTTGTTCTCCTTTTCTTTCCTGACTACATCCAAAGTAGGCTCGCTGTTTTTTCCTTGTTTTGTCTTGTTGAAATCGCTCATGTATGATCTTTATCGTCTTATGAACCGGCGTGATTGTTAAAAGGACTATAATTTCACAGGAATTCTTTCTAGTGATGTCAGTCAAATCTGAAAACAAGTAATTTGAATTTTTTCTATTTTCCACAAGTGGCCCAGTGATGACTGCCACTCGTTACGGTGCCCATTTGTAGGAGTGGCTAGTCTGGCTTATGGGAGGGGAGGGATGTTTTGTCTTTTGGTGTACAAGTTGCCTGTTTATGTTGTTCATAGCCGAGGGTATATTGATCGATTGCCACTTATGTTTTGGTGTGAATCTTCATTCGGTATATCGATATATCTTTTTGTCAATGACCAGACCATTAATGTCATTGGTTGTTGTTGGCAGTTTTAACACTATCAACTGTTTTTACAAGCTGAATAATATGATAAGACCTCATTTTAACACGCAATTAGGCTCAGAACGGATAAAACATCTCACGTCTCCCAGACTGAATGCTGTAAGAGTAATCTTGTGACGAAAATACGTTATGGTAGTTCTATATTTGACGTTACACTTTTTGACGAAATTCCGAACATTTCAGTCACTCAAATTCTTGTTTTTTCGAATGGTCACAAATATTTTTCAATTGCAGAACATGGAAAGGCTGTTTAACATGCCTTTGCAGACAGTTTAAAAAACACTTGATCTGACCGCACCATGATAACATTGTAGCTAAAAGTCAAAAATCATTTTCTAATGGAGATGAGATATGCTTGGAGGTCGAATTTTTGGAGATTGTAATTAAATGTTAAATATTAAATAATGTCTATGAGTTGCAGAAGGTACGCTCGTTTTCATGTGACAGTTCTACTACAGTTATTTGCGAAATATTATTGGCTTACGTTCCTAGCCTTCATGGCCTATAGTTATGTGTACCTAATTTTAAAGTTGTTAGCTAAACGTACGGCTTCCGTCGAATCGCATCTCATGTCACTAGATAAAAATCACACAATAAACTTCAATTCACTTAAATTCCAAGAAATCCTTAAATAATATGATATGATTGAAAATTTATCTCGAGTTGACTTCCCTGCCTTATTGCCTTTATATATTATATTTACTGTACAGCATGATATTATAGAAGGTCGTTTTGAAGATACATTGGAAAACTGGAAAACTGGAAAATTGTAAAGCAGGAAAACATTTTTAAAATACGCGGGGGTGGGGGTTGCGGGATGGGTTGATGTAGAAAAGCCTATCCGTGCCCTTATTTCAAACCTGTTCATGTTGGAGTCGGCATCAAAGAAAATAATACTGATGTTAGTGATGATACTGCTGTCAACTAAAGATTGCAGTATTTTCTTCCGAGAAAACAACCTGCGGCAAAAACATAATAACGCAGTTGTATAGACTGAATAATTACTATTTTACATTTGACATATTTTCAGCTGGATTTGGGGAAAGATTAGGAGGTTACCACCTTTATATATCTAATAACACGGATTCCCCAACAAACGGTGTCCGCTGTTATGAGGATACGAGTACTACTGAAGCAACGGTACAACTGAATATAATACATCAGTGCCCGTATGTTGGCCGGTATGTTACTGTATACAACTACAGAAACGTTCCACCACGATACACCTGGTATGATGCTGTAGCTGTGCTGGAGTTATGTGAGGTTATAGTTCTTGGTAAGTACATCTGTTAATCCTTCGAAATTATCTTTATTTTTAGTAAAGATTATTAAAATAATACAAAAAAATCTACATTAGATATACTGAAGAAAATTCATTATATACAAATGCCATGCCAGGACGTTTTCCTTTGTCCTATGAGAACTAAAATTAAATAGCGTTTTATAATGCATTTTCTAGCAAAAAATTTCTGCTTTGTCATTACCACTATTTCGTTTTCTCCCTCACTGTCTGTCTTTGTTTATATGTGTCTTTTTGTGCAGTTCTATCTGTTCTCTGTGTAGCGTGTTTTGTGTGTATGTTTATCTGTCCACCTTTGTCTTCTAAATTACCTATTTCTCGTCTTACTCCGACTGTGTCGATCTGTGTTTTTCTTTAGGCGTCTCTATAGCTAAAATCCTGTTTCTACCTTTCTGTATGTATCTTACCTCTCTTCCTTATCTGTTTCTTCTACTCCCATATATGTCCCTTGGACATTAATTTCTTGCTATTTACTGGTACTTAACCAAAGTCACACTCTAGATGTGCCCTTCGAGGCTGGAGGTAGTCAGCACAAGTCCACATTATTGTCTGACTCTCTACCATTCCATTGCGTGACTTTTTTAAAACTATTTTTTCCATGCCTTTTTGCTGTTAACACCAATTACTTTTTACACTCTTTTATGATGTGAGATGTTAATAGATTCCAAAGCATAAAAGAATCTTAGCTTCTGAGTGCTTGAAAGCAGGAAAGAAAGAAAGCAATAGAGAAAGAAAGATAGGAGGGAAACAATAATATTTACTAATCTTTTCTAGGCATATAGTGTAAAAATATGTTTGAAAATCAAACCTGTATTCGAAACGTTTTATTATGTTCACCCTTAGGATGTGCAGCAGGCCATTACGGTGATGGCAACTGTGAAAAGGATTGCCCAGAAACTTGTTACGGAGGCAACTGTAACCCGAAATCTGGCTCCTGCTTTTGTAAGTTTATAAAATAACATACCAGTACAGTAATGAATTCTCAAAGATATGCTGATCTCATTTTGCGATTCCTTCTGAAAGTTCTATAGGTCATTCTGTTACAGACAGTTTTTTATGTATCACATACTGCTGATAAATGTGCGAATGCGGATGACTTATATGATTGATGTATCCGACTGAATGTCGTAAGAGGAAACGAATTATGAGGCCCCCTGCACAATCAAGGGGTTTCATCTTTATTTTTCTTTTACAAAACATTGAAACCAGAATTGATCTGTTGCCCCAATAGCAGCACGTTCGATCCTTTCTTTCTTTGATTCTTAGTATTATATACTATCTAGACAATGGGATTTTGTCTCTGTTTTATGTTCTCTGTATTTGTTAAATTTTGGTAATAGTTTGTATTTTATAAAGGGGGCCGAAGTGGCGAGTGTTTAAGGCGTCTGACCGTCTTTATTATTATCCCCTCTGGGTTGCAGATTCCACTTAAACCTGACACGTCCTACACCGGGCGGTTCTTACTGTTAATACATGCAGGGCGTAATGAAAAAATAATCCAAACTTAATAAAGGGTGTGTACTGCCTCAAAAAATGACAATTAATTGATCCGTGTTGTCGTTATTACTTTATCGATACTATATATCTTTTACATTTAAGACTGTTTCCCGAAAAAGTATGGCAGTGCTTGTGACATGGATTGTTCTACGAACTGTAAAGACAGCCTCTGTAATAAAGACTCTGGACATTGTTTAGGTATGTGAAATAAGTAACTATCGGATTATCGTGTATTATTTTATACACAGACCGAATATTGGTATGTACTATATAAATATAATGTGTTTTACAGTACCCTATTTAGTTAACAACTGTGATTGGTATTAAAATTACTACACTCAATATTGTCAACCATTGTGCCTTTACAAGTCATTGTTAACTTATTGCACCAAATGTAGTTCCAAGTTTATTGTCAAAACATTAGTTCATACAAAATGTTCATGTTCCATACAGGAACTTGCCACCCTCTGATGCAGATAACTTGCATGCCAGTCTTTATATCATTCTCGTAGTTACTTAGTACAGAATATATACGTGTACTTGAAGCTCTTTTGAAAAATAATTAAAAACATTAAAAATCTGTAATAGATTAATTTGATGTTTCCCTACATCTAGATTTGCGACCAATTATGATGGTCCTTAGTTTCCTTCTAGGTATCAAAACTCGCATCACAGACGAGTCCCGAAAAGACGAAATACCTACATGATATAGTTTGTCTAATCCTTTGGCTCAACTATATCTAATACTGTGTCTTGATATAAACTACCTTTGTTTATTTCACACTGCAATTGAAAACTACGCCTTATTGTAAACAAAATAGCAGCTGATATAACACAACCAGTAGAAATTAAGTTTGAAGTTTCGATGGTCACATTGTCATCACCAATGGGCGATGAAAAGCGTCCATGCCTGGTGCAGTGTATGAAATAGTAGTGAATAGATCGACTTTCCTAATCTTATATAAGCTTAACTAGTGTGACAAAATGGTAAAGGGATTATAGATACACGTACACAAGATGTAATGTAGTTGTAGCGAAAAATGTGTTTAACACAGCTGATTCCGAACCATCTCGTACTCTACATACGCCATTTCTGGTACGCTTTAGAAAGGTCAACCCAGTTGAGACCGGTCATATGATATCTGTAATTTTATCAAAGCATGTGATTAACAAAGAATTATTGTGAACATCTAAGTTTTTCCTATGATAAATTATGGTTCAAGGATTTATCATCATATAATTTTAACTGTCTTTTGAAAACTTTGAAGAAGTGCATGAACAATTTTAAACGTGAATTTGTTGGTATTTTGTTGTACAGGAACACATAGAAAACCAAGATGACAACTAATTCGAAAAAAAATTCTTTTTATGTTTCTGTCTCTTTGTGATTTCTAACTGATAAAAATGAGTGATTACAAAAGAAATTGTGAACTGTATGTGTTATAATGCTTTGAAAACTGACATGCAATATATATATACTATTCCACTCCTGTAATATTATTATTACAGGTATTTTTGTGACAAACTTCTGTCTGAAATTTCGTTTTTGAAGATAATCTAAGTATCACATTATGTTTAGAAAAAGTGCCAACTGAATTCCCATAAAAGGTCATTATATATTGCAGTTGTTATCATGTAAGTTTATATGAAAACAGGCGGCCATAAAAATTGGTATGATTTCTCGTTATTGATAAAGAAACAGTAATGCATAATTGTTTTACTCTTTTACCGTGAAATGTAGGACTTTATATCAGTTTATGAAAGACGTATATCATCACTGCAGTAATATATAACTTTAACAGTAAAGATATAACTTAAACAGTTTTGACCAATCAGAGTCATTGAATTACGCAGACTTTCCTATTTGAACACACTGGCTTCTTTTATGTTTGGATCGGCCTTAGATATGTGGTTCATTCAACCTTCGCTTCATTTGCATCCAAACATGAAAGTCGGTGATTTCTTAATGAAGTGAATTGAGAACACTGCTTTCGTTGGTCAAAAGTACGAAAATTTTATCATCAATAAAAAGTAATATCATCACTGGAAATGTAATATTATCACTAATATTGACATAATAAATATTATGTTATCATTGCGGTGATGATATAATCTTTTCCCAAACTGATACATTTCAATATTTCACTGGCCAAAATAAAACGAGAAGGAATCGTTTAATATCATATATATTCAAAACGTATAATAGTGTTGTAAGCTTTATTCATCACTATCATGACTTCCTTTAATTTTCTTCAGTACGATAGTATCAAAATTAAATGTTGTA